TTTTTAAGTTATTCTTCTAAAGTATAGCCGCTCAGTTTTAATGTTTAATTTTTTTTTTAATTCTAAGCTATTCAATTTAATCGAATTAGGTATTACAGTTAATGAACATTTATAACTATGTTATTAAATTTTTAAAATTTGTCCGATTTTTTTTCTTTTAATATCTAAAGGATGAAAATTCGAAAAAAATATTTTTTATTTTCGCATATTATACATATACCTTTAAAAATATCATACTAAAATTTTAAGAAAATATTTAAAACGTTTTTTGAGTTACAGACTTCTAAAGTATAGTCGCTAAACGCATTTTTTTTTTAAATTAGATTTTTCAAATTGGTTTGTATACATATATGTATGTATGTATGTAATTCTTTATACAATGCCCAAACAGTTTTTTGATCTGATGAATAATCTTTTTTAAAAACGCTGCGATTTTGTAATTTTTTTTTTTCATTTGAGGTTAAATTACACATTTTTAAAACTTTTTTAAAACCGCCGCCATTTTGTAAATTTTTTTTTGATTGTGTGTTAAATTTTTTCTAGTCTAAAATTTTGTTTAGGTCTCATCTACGCAAAATTTCGTAATCACTACAAAGGCGGAGAACCTCCTATATCCCTACATACCCATTTTAACCTCCAATTCCGGAGGATGCTATTCTAAATCCCAGCCCAAAAAGTATCCAACAATGAATACCTACAATTATTTACACTATTTTTCGCTTATGTTCAAAATTCAATGTCAAACGCCTTAATATAGATTCGAATATCTTTGGAGGGAAAATGGTTATCTGTTCTCATGACACACGGATCTAATATGTAACTGGAACAACTCTCAACTCGCCAGCTAAAAATTATTCGACGAATGTTTTCTGCCGCTACAACAAGGACAATAAGGATATTATGATGGCGATACTTTACACTATTTTTTTTTCTGTTGAATTTTAATTCAAGTTTTTAGATGAATTTATTTTACGTACTCTTCTAAAAAAAAAAAACGTGAAAAAATTGTAAAGCTGGTAAGTACTGACTGACATTTAACACTTTGTTGTTTGTATTAAAATTTACTACGTTCTGCTCTGTGCGTTTCTTATGCGAGCATAAAATGATGCAACGGAATATATTTATATTTTGTTATGCAATGTTGACCGTTAAAAATTTAAATCATATCTCGCTAGTCGTTTTGCAGCTCTACCACACATGATATATGTATGTACATACAAATGTCTTTTTTTTATCTAACGAAACAATAGTGTACTTGAGAGGAATCAAATGCAAGCACATGAAAACGGCACAAACAGCTGTCTTAGCACAATAAACTCCATTTTAGAAATGAAGTAATTCTGGTACACAAAGAAAAACTAAAATACAACATCTATGTACATGACAAACACACGCCACAGTCGCACAACACACTTATTCGAAATAACTTAAACAAAACGAAACTAATCAACATATCAACCTAACGCTGATGACACTGGTCGATTAACCAAGAACTGAACACCGTAACCACACATGCACAAACTTACTTTAACTACACAGCATAACACAAATTCCAGGGTATGCGGATGCTTGCTATTACCACCATTCACCGGTTCAATATTTCATTACTCAACATTTGCACTAGCACTTCTGGCACATTGTTTTCTTAAATATAGCACATTTTTAGAGTTTTTTTTACGTTATTTTGGAACCAAAAACAGCAGTGAATATTAAACAACTAATGTACGATCGTTGTGTCTTGATGTCTTTTCACTTGTGTTCCAATTTATACTCGTATCGTTCACATACAAGTATTGACAGCGAGTCAAAAGGCAAGCACACGAAAAAGTATCGATACTAATTTGTTATTGTTGTGAATACAGTACACAAAAATACTGGGAAATGCGCGTTTGTATTATCGAAATTATAGAAAAATAATAATGTTACAAAAATATATGCACTTGTTAAATGCGTATATTAAATATGGCTACAAATTTTTCATGTTAAAAACACGTGTTGTTACTAACTAACGTAGGACTACTGACATTTTGCTACCGATAAGCACGTTCACAGTTGTTTTTATTTTCTCGATTAATGCTGTTCCATTCCTCAACTACCCGGAACGGGCAGATATTGATATACATACACATAAATTGACGAAAATTACGGTATTTAGTTTTTGGTTTAGTAATTGTTATTAAAATTATAGATTTTTCTCAATTCAATATGTATATAAAAAAATGTATTTCTAAAATGAAAAATTAGAAATGAAAATATAAATAGATGATTAGCATGTGAGTTATAAGATTTGTGTTAACTTTTTAAATACTTTTGAGGTTATGTAGATTAAACAAATAATTTCCATTTGCATAAAGTAAGGCTTAAGAAGGTCGGAATCATTGTTAAACAATGTATTAATATCAATAATGAGACACAATTAATTTTTCGCATCCATGTTATTCAATAAAAAAAACTTATTTTTAAGGGTGCAGAGAAAGCAAGCAATGATTTTTGTTTTGTTTTGCGCTATTGACAGCTCACCAACACAGCTTCGTTAGTGTGACGCACATTCTGCAGCACGAAAACGTAATAATAAAAATAAATTTGTTTCCGATTGGCCAATGTTTTTGTGAGAGACGCAATCTAACAAGTCTAACATTGCTACCAGAGGCTTTAAAAATACTTTATATTAATTTAGATTAAACGCTAGTCAGGGATGATTGTAGTGATTTTCAGAAAAAAATCTGTAAGTAATTGTTGCAAAGCTTTGGGCTCCACTCTGAACTTCGGGCTCGGAAGGAAAAAATTTAACGAGTTTGCCGAATTTTTTTTCCAATTAAAACACGGCTACGGAAGCGTTGAAAATATTGCATAAGGCTTTTGACGAAGTTTACTTTATTACGAACACCGGTATTTGAGTGAAGGAAACCATTCAGTGAAGGTCGTGAAGTCATCGAAAACTTGCCTCATGCTAGTCATTCATCCACATTTTTTAATGACGATAACACGAAAAAAGTCAAAGAAAAAGAGTTTCAAAATCATCGTGTTGGCATCAGAGAGACTGCAGAAAATCTCAACACCTTTTATGGATCGACTCAACATATTTTGGTTAATATTTTGGGTATGAAGCGTGGCAATGCTAGACACGTACCAAAATACGTAAATATTTTTCGAAAACTACGTTGAGTAGAGGTTGTAAAAGTGATGCCTAACAACGTCGTTGAGTACCCTATATTTATCAAACAAATCAAACAATTATTGCATAGTTGAACGGTTTATAAAAGCTAGCGAATAGCGAAAACCAAAAAACCAAAATTCTCTAAAGAGTCTCTCTTATGCTGAATTAGGCGTTGGCACATATCATCACCTATTTTGAAGGCGATAGTAAAGATTGGTATTAAAATACGTAAAAATGGATTTTGTTTGTGTTGTCAATCCAGGTCAAATTTGATCAGTTGGCATGTATGTTTGTGCACAAAATCATATACATACATAGATATATGAATATATTTAATGTAATATATATTGTAAGTACATATGTACATATATCCGTACGCACATTCTTACCTGTCATTTACCTTATTTTTCAAACACACATCTGTATACACATATGTACATATATACATACATATACTGCGTATATTTTATAACACACATTCTGTATATGCAACCGCACAAGACCACATTTGTGTATCAGCGCAGTAATCGCTGCGCACGTGTTGATAAGCATGGCAGGTAATATTCGGAATATTCCGAATGTCTTCTGCATGAAACACTTGGAATATATGAAACGCTAATATAACCTCAAAATTTAGAGTGGTTATTCACATTGTTTCTCATTCTGTAAACTACGCCTCTTCAAAACTAAAAACAATGTAACGGCTCTGATCGATTAAATAAAAATAATCGATATTAGATATAGTTTTTTTTATCAAATGTCCCAAATCACCACCACCTCTGTCGGTTAACATTGTTGTAGTGATATTTGTATACGCTTTCTATGCAAAATTATTGATTTTTATTGCAAATTATGAAAAGTGAGTGTGGTTATACTGAATAGATATAGTTCTACGCATAATGCAATTATTTTTAAAGGTGACAGCTTTTTCTTATTAAAAATTAGAATGAAATTACTTCCAACCGTGCACTGACTGTTTCAGTTTTTTTTGATGGTATACGGCAGTTGTTTACTTAAAGAGCGTAAACCGTCAGCGAGCGTTGAAACTATTGTTGGTCATTATCAGTCAGCGTAACTTGTAATGGAAAACTCCGTTATTCTGTTCCATATAATTTTCTCAAACTCTTCTGTTTAAAGTTGTATAATCGCTATCTTTACAGCTAACAAATTTTATGTTACATATTTTAGACCAGCTTTACTATTGTGAATGGCAAGTGCTGCGCATTTCTATGAACAGCTGGTATAGTTTGTTCGATTCGCTACTCTCCAACGCTTAGTGAATCGAAGCCAGCCAAATTACACAGCAGCGAAGTGATACGAACAAAAACACAAAGTGTGTTGTCTGAGCAGTAGCAAGTTGGTGTCTATTCCTTACTGTTTCCTCTCCTACAAAACATAAGTTGCCGCAACAAAAGCCTTCATGTCTGAGCGCAATCAAAGTGATATTAAACAAAAGAATTTTCACAAAATATAAAAAAAAAATTAATATGCTAGGTATTTGGTTGGTTGGTTATCAAAATTTAAATTTTCCAATATATTGAAAACTATATAGACTTGGCGTGCCCTGCTACGCCCCCCTTTTTTGTACTCCAAATATGTTGCTACATAGCATAATAGTTTTGTTCACCTAACGGTTGTTTGTATCACCTAAAACTAATTGAGATAGATACGGAGTTATAATATACTTATATAAACGATCGGGATGACGAGGCGAGTTCAAATCTGGGTGGAGTCTGTTCGTCTTATTGACATCCTCGTTAAATATATTTTTTATGAGCTACTAAACCAATTTTAACGATAATTTCGTTTATATCTTTTTTCTGACATTCCCATAGTATGCTGTGCGAATTCGGTCGACAACCACACCTAAATATAATATATCGGGTTAAAACTGTGCAAAAATAATGCCGTTTAGATGTGCCATCTCAAGTCTAAAAATGGTCAAAATCCGAAAATCGTTCGAATCGATAGTAATGTGATATGTGAGGCGTAGAGTAAATCAGCATCTGCATTACCCATAACTTACCGCCTGTGCATAGTATAACGGTGCAGAAGGAGAGCAGAAGAGCCATGACCTATGTCTAATCATAAGACAATGTTTTGTTCAAAATTCATCGAATGTAATCGCAAAATCGACGATGATTTCGCAAAAAAAAAGGACTCCGTTAGGACCTTCTGCACAAATAAATGAACAAATGTGGAAATTTTCACGTTATTCTTGTTGTAGCGGCAGAATTTTGCCGAGTTGACAGTCCTTAGCCGCATAAAAATCCGGCTTCGTTCCGGTTACATAGATCCGAATCTGTCGTGTGAACGGTTTTTACGTCTTTCCGTGCTGCGGTTCGAAAGTACTGCGAGTACATAACGAAATAGCGTTTCATTTTTATATATAAGAAGTAGACGTTATGGCTGTTTCACATACAACTTTTGCTTTGATTTGCGTCAGACATTGGCTTTGACAGATAAGTTCGATGTATGCTTTTATATGACTTCATTCCTATCGTGACAAGTCAAAGCAAAGCGAAGCAAAATGTTGGAGAACTCTCATTTCTTTACGCTTTGCCAAGCAAAGAACGTCAATTTTTTTTTAAAGAAGCACGGAAAGCATAGCATTCATTCTGATATACACTTTGCTTGCTACGCTTCATTGTTAAAGTATGAAATGTCAACCAAAGCGTAGAAAGTTGTATATGAATCGGCAATTATGAGAATGGTCATAAAACGTGCTGTCCAAGTACGGGCAACTCGCTGCATCTCTCCTCCCTCTCCACACGCTCACTATCCGTCAAAATAAGATTTGCTGCATTAAAAATGTCCTTGTTTCTACACAGCATAAGTATTTTTTTTTTCTTAAATTATTTGGCACTGCAATATACTTGTATTTATATTTCTTACGTAATGACACATTTTTTCACTTCAATTCTACAATGAAAAAGAATTAGCGATTAGCACACCACTTTAATTATAAATACATACATGTACGTACATACATAAGCAATTCACTAGCGCTCTTGCTAAGGTAAAAAAAATTCAGATGTTTTTTTCTTTTGCTTACAGTAAAGGTAAACGGTTTTTTGCTAACAAAAACGGCTGTGCCAACTGAAAGTTTGTTTTAAAAACCTGAAATTTCTTACACAAAACACAATCGCTAGACTTAAATCCGATATAACCTATAAATAGATATGTAGCTGCAATGGTGTAAACAATATTACTGCCGCTTTCATCCAAGAAAATCATAAAAATGCAACTATGCTTGAGTGTTCGGTGTGCTTGGTTTGGATTTTGCGTACACAGATACGAACAGCTGACGTTTTGTTTATAGCGAAGAAGAAATAAAAAGTGGAATCGACATAAAGAATCGTCAAACAAATTATACATTTAGGAGAAATTATTCTACTAATTATAGTAAATATGTACATAAAATGTATATTATATATTAAAATGTATGTATAAAAATCCGTAGTATAAGTAGGTGAGAAAAAATGATGTCTCCTATTTTCTCGTCCTGCCAAGTATGCGTGAGCCTAGCAGAACTAGCGTGGCGAACTGTCAATTGTATAACACACTGATCGCATCACATACATACGATTTTAAGTATACATAAATAATTTGATGCCATGACGCAGTTGACACAAACAAATAGTTTTCATAAAAGATAATTGAAGGTAAGCGCCCTGAGGATTGAGCAATCTTTAATGCTATCTTTTTTGACATCTTATCGGTCGCTTCGATTAACTGGTACAAATAGTTGTGTACGAGATATAGCGGCTATCTGGGTGGGTTTTCTTTTCAACTCATGAAGGCAAATTTATATAATTTTTTTTTTTTAAACACTCATTTCCGTGTTTTTTTATCAATTAGTGAAATATGCGAAATGCGTACTAACTTGCTTATTTGTACAGAAGAATCTGACGTTTCTTGGTTCAAAGCATTAAAACTAGTTTGTGACTTAACACACCACCATTGCGTAAGCATATGTCATCAAAAATTACTCAAACATCACATTACTCATTGTAAGCACATGTATCGCTTCTGCGACGAAGACATTTTTATACCCTGAACAGGCTATATTAAGTATGCCAAGAAGTATGTAACATCCAGAAGGAAATGTTGGAGATTCTATATAATTTATACATATGTGTATAAATTTTCAATGTGAGCAGCTGAGTCGATTTAGCCATGTCCATCTATCCGTCTCTCTGTATATACGTGAAATAATGCCGACATTTTGGAGTTATCGATCTGAAATTTTAATCACGTTCTTTTCTTTACAAGAAGCTGCTCATTTGTCGGAAACGCCGATATCGAACCACTATAACATATAGCTACCATACAAACTGATCGTTCAAAATCAAGTCCTTGTATGAAAAACTTTTTTATTTTACAATATATCTTCACGAAATTCGACACGGAGTATTCTCCAAGTCAACGCTACAATCTTCACATATATTGTTGAGATCCGTACACTATAGCATATAACTGCCATACAAACTTATCGGCCAAATCAAGCCATTCTATGGAAAACTTTTTTCTTTTACGAGTTATCTTCACAAAATCTGGTCTGGGTTGTTGTTCAAAGCAACGCTACAATCTCCGAAGAAATTCTTCAGTTCGGATCACTATAGCATAAAGCAAACATACAAACTAATCGAACAAAATCATGTCCTTGTATGGAAAACTTTTTTATTTGTCGAGATATCTTCACGAAATTTGGCTTGTTGTGCAAGGCAACGCTACAATCCCCCAATAAATTGTTCAGATCGGAACACTATATATTTATATAGTATATAAACCGTTGTTCGGTTACAATTTCAGATTAATTCATACTTATAGTTGTTATATGAAATGCACCTGGCACCCTTTAGTACAGCCGAAGTTAACGTTTTTTTTTTCGATTTTTTAATAAATAACACTCCCAATATTTTCTAATCCTTAAGCATTTCTGATATACATTATTTGTAAAAGTAAATTGGTAAGCGAGCAAAGCTTAACAAGTTTACCACTCGCAATAAAATTTCAACTTAATTTATATTTAGAAATTATAGGCCTGTTGAAAGGGAAAAATCTTGCAATTAAATTCCCATAATGTTTTTAAGCGTTCTTAAGTATTTAATTATAGTTTATCGGGTGATCGAAGAGTGCATGTTTTCACAGTTCGTAAGAATTATTTTTACACAACTCTGTACATATGCATATACATACATACATAAATTCAAACGCAAATGCAAATACAAATCGATTGCTATTAAATACGTAAGCAGCGTGGATCAGCAACTTCCGACACAACGAATAGTAGTTACTCCCACCAATAAAGTGTATCACCAGCAAAAGCCGAACAAAAAATAGATGAACAAACGGTGAAAACAAGAACTTATACAACTCACCGCAAGCATTCACAACAAAACACACACACATCTATGCAAATGTGTTAATGTGTATGCGCATGCATGGCTGTACAAATGTGTGCATGTATGTAGATATGTACGATTGTACGTAGATACGAAAGCGAATGCTCGTACTTTGCGAAGAAATCTTTAGGTGCAAAAATAAAACCAAAAAAAAAATATATTCATAGACTTAACATTTGCTGCACTGGTAAGATAATATTTCACATTAATGCTATTAATGCTTACCCATACAAGTTTTTTTCAATGTAATTGACGGTAATCGCTCACGTAGTCGTAATGGTAAGTAATTCTTGAAAGCACAATACACTAAAGTTGTTTATTACGCATTTAGTCTGTCATCTCGCGTGGGTACACTTCAAATGCGATAGGACTTTTGTTTTGCGAGGTGAAAACGAAATGCTAGAAAATGGAACGGAATGGCGACGCGACGCGACGTGTCAAGGCAATTCGGTGCATTGTTGTGATTTATTATTTTTGAATTTATTTAAAAAGTAGAAAACTAAAAACGTTGCTTGAATAGTGCATTTGAATTGATACTCAATTTTTTTATTGAAAATTTGTAACTAACATTTTACAAAATTAAAGGTGTAGAAATTCTGAAATAGCATTTTTTTATAAATTTCGCTTGTTATTACGTATTTTCGTTCGTTTTTACGTAACTTCGTTGAAATACTGTACCAAAAAACTTTCGTGTCCGGCAAAATAATCGACTTTTATCGATAACCACAATAGTGGGAAATTTTTTTTTTGCGTGAAATGAGGTGGAAAATGAAACATGGAAACGAAATGTGTATACATTCGAAAATCAAAATGGCGATGCTGGTTTCAATTTGGCGCCAAACGTAGAAAACGTGTTTACCAATTGAAAAAATATTATTTATTATTATTGGATTCATTAAAAAAATATATATCTACTATTTATTTTAAAAAATATTTATCTGCTATTTATTTAAAAATATATATATCTACTATTCATTTAAAAAAATATATATATATTTATTTTAAAAAAATTCTATCTATTTAAAAAAAATATTTATGGAATTTGTAAAATGGCAAATTTTTAATCAAACTAACCTCTGTGGTAAGATAACCTCTAAAACATTGCCAAAATGCTTTTCGTTAAGGTTTAATGTATATTTTTTACTATTCTTTGCGTTTTTATGATTACCGACCAACCGATAACTATTAAATCCCACCTACTTTGCAAGAAATAACTCAAAATCTCCGCAGAATGTCCATAATCCACGACTAACAAAAATAATTCTTACAAAAGTTATAAATGTATAGCATATTATCAGCGAAATTTTGACAAAAGCACTGAATAACTTCGATAAAACGCAGATTTTTCTTAAATTTCGTAGGTTAGAAATCGATTAATCGAGTTTTAAGTATTTTTCAACAAATTATTCCAAATTAACGTGTCGGCGAATAGTCTTCTTATTTTGTATACTTTTGGACCATCTTATGAAATCACATTTGCAGTTATCGAAACTATTTTTCGTTTGAAGTTTTCTACGAACACACATTATAAAAAAAAAAAGTAAAAGTAAAGTTTTCATTTTGTTCAATTTATTCAAAACTTTTTTATTTATTTATAATTTACAGAATTAAATATTTTTTTTAGAATATTAGTAATAACTTCAGCTGTGATGTAAAGTGACTGCTCAAAACTCTCGGTTTCGCCAATTAACTTTAAATACATACCTTTTTGTAGCGTTGATTGCAGGGTTGAAAACTGTTGAAAAATAAGACAGCATTATTCGTAATTAAAAAAATTTCAATTAACAATAAAAACAATTAATATTATTAGTTATGCATCAGTAGGACCTATTTTTGAGGATATTTTGTTGCGGTTATTGTGAATCATGCCACAAAAATCAGCTTTCCTTGTTTCATCAATAAAACATAATTCTAGATTAATAAATAAATTTATCCAGTAAAGAAAGAAAGCTTACCTAAAAAACAAACAACTTAGGAAGAGGCGGCCATTTTGAATTTTTATGCTTTCGGTTTCGGCATCTCTATTCCGGCCTATATTTAAGGAACAGCGAGAGCTCCACGACAGACGGGTCTACGTAACCGAAATGCATTCGCATTTTTAAACGGTCGAGGACTGTCAACTTGGCAGCACTTAAGCGTTGCTTCTAACCGCTACACCAACAACAATCAACGTTTTGCGCATTCTGTGAGAGAGACAAAGCCTTCATTAAAATCTTTTGATTATTTTTTACTGAATTTCCAAGCTAATAAATTATAAAACAATCAGTAGGACCTATTTTTGAGGATATTTTGTTGCGGTTATTGTGAATCATGCCACAAAAATCAGCTTTCCTTGTTTCATCAAAAGCAAATAATGAAGATGTATAACTATATTTTTAAATAACACAAAATTACCTTATAATCTCTCAAATAACAGTACTGCCAAGTCTATATAACTACAGTCTATGTTTAACTTATGTTCGCCGAAGTCTCTTACACTCCAATAGTAATTGCCAGATTTTTTTGTGAATAAAATTATTGCAAAGCAACCATAATATCGTGAAAGATGTGTTTCCTGTCGAAGACAATAATAATTTTTTGTTAAATTCGTTTGAAACTTTTTTTGTAAACAATATATATAGGAATTTAAGTGTTAATCAGTAGGACCTATTTTGAGTTAAGTTTTGTTGCGGTTAATGTGAATCATGCCACATAAATCAGAATCCTTTTCTCATCACATAATAATTATTATATTTTTTTTTTAAATACAGTTATAAATATTGAGCTGCGAAATTGTCAAGAACAGCTCGAAAACTGTCACCTTTTTGAATTTTGCTTTAGTAAATAGTACTCAAAGCGGTCAAGTAAAGTGTAAAAACACTATTTTGTGCAAAAATTTACAAAACAAAAAAAAAAAACAAAATACACAAAAATTTACAACAAAAAACATACACAAAAATTTATAACAAAAAAATATACAAAATTTACAAAAAAAAATATACAAAAATTTACAACAAAAAAAATACACAAAAATTTACAACAAAAAAATTCTGACACAAAAAGTTTTAAAAATTTACGTTTCGTAGGAAAATTTTATTTTAAAGTTCGATAGCTTCTTTTGTCGTGACAATTTCGCATTCTAGTATAGACTAACAGCAACATACCTGAATGTTTTTTTTTTTTTTGATCTGATGCAGTTTGTCCATTTCGATACTGTAACGGTACGACTTATATCCGATCTAGTGTTGACATTTTAGTACAGACAATCCAAAGTTGAGCACATCAACCTGAAATTGTACAATACTCAAATTATGCTTAAATGTAAGAAATATTTTTGCTAAAAATGCGCAAAAAATTTTTATATATGCTATGTGGTGGGAAGTATTGAGGCGATTATTTTTGAAGATTGGGCGTGGTTATTTCTCCGATTCCACTTATTTTCAGATTGTGTGAGCAGATGTTGAGAAGGCATGTTCGCAGCTTATCATTTATGAGATATGTACTTTATTACCTATTAGAGCTCGGCCGGGACCACTTTTCAAAAAATTTTAAACCCATTACCATACCCTCCTCCTCCCTGCGGTTTTCTATACTGAATTTATATACTAATGTTTGTAACTCAAGTTGTGGCTTAGTTATAGTACTGTATCATGCTTAGGCGTGGCAATTATCCAATTTCGCCCAACTGCAAGTCAGATTTCTGCTTGACGTTTTAATTCGCTCATCCGAAATGGCTTTCATCTATTTACAAACCACAAGTTAGGAAGACATTTTCATGGCCAAACAAATTAGTTTTGATTTAATTTAACGCCCAATGGGGAATGGTGGGGTATACTTTCGAATTTTAGTTACTTAGTCCAATTTATTTAAATAAAATTTTATTATTTAATAAAAAAATGTAAAACAAAAAACAAATTTAGAAAAAAATAATTAAAATCAAAAATAAGTTTGCAAAATATAAAAAAAGAGGTTAAAATAAATTTTAAAAAATTACTTCGAATTTTAGTTAGTAAAATTTTTTGTAATGAATTCGTATTGTTTAATAAAAAAATAATTAAAAAACCTTAAATTATATTAAAAAAATTTAAAAAAAAAACCTGAATAAAAAATTGAAAAAAAATAAAAAAATATAAAAAAATAAAAAATTAAAAAAAAAAAGTTTAAAAAATTAGAAAAAAAATAAAAAAGGTTAAGAAATTAATAAAAAAAAAAGGTTAAAATTTTAACAAAAAAAATATTTTTTATATAATTTAATAAAAATTTAAAAAAAATATTTTTTATATAATTTAATAAAAATTAAAAAAAAAAATAGAAATAAAAATAAAATAAAAATGTTAATAAAAATTTAAGTAAAAACAATTTTATAAAAATTTAAAAACATTTTTCTCGAGATATATGTACATACATACATATATAGTTATAGATAAACTTGACAGCAGTTTTTGCCTTCATAAACTTTTTCGACATTATAAATCGAAATTTATTAAAGTTTTTGACGCAATTAATTAAAGCCTTACCTGAATTGGTTTATCTAACCCATCCACTAATTTCTCAACATGACTTTTAGCACGGCTTGTGGCATAAAGGCTAAAAAGAAAAAAGGCATTAATTAGCAAAAAAAAATCGATGTTTTATGCAATAGTGTTGAGCATTTTGGACTTCAGTAAGACCAATCAATTCGCATTCAACACTTTTTTATTTTTCAGTTAGGGGCGAAAGTAATTGTTCATCATGCAATTAAATTAAGTCAATATATATGTATATTTTTACATATTTATGCTTACATTAATGAAAGTGAGTGCTGGCTGCGCACAAATTTTTAAGGCTTCACATATTTTTCCCAGCGCCCATATTATATAACTGAAATTGAAAACAAAAATATTAATATTCTGGATATGAGGTGTTTTGATTGATGTGAATTGATTGCATATTTGTCAGTAAGACCAATCAAATCGCATTCAACATGATTTTTTTCAGTTAGGGGCGAAAGTAATTGCTCATCATTTAAAATTAATTTATGATATGTCTTATTAGTTATATACACATTTAAACTTACATTTTGCAGTGCGATTTCCATATACCATATACATAAATGTAATTGCTGTTTGAGCTAAACCAAAAGCAGCTGGAAAAGGAGAAGAAATATACATTTTAATACACTTTCTTAGGAACAGAATAATTTTAATTTTTTTTTACATATAACTTTTATCAGTAAGACCAATCAATTCGCATTCAACATGAAATTATTATTTTTCAGTTAGGGGCAAAAGTTATTGTTCATCATTCAAGAAGTAAATTTAATGACTTACAACCAGGGTTGCGTATTTCTTTTATAAAAAAATTTTGGATTAAAAATTAACTTTTCCATTTTAAATTTACAATTTTTAATTCCAAACATTTTCGATTGAAAATTAGATTTTCATTTTGGATTAAAAATTAGATTTTAAATCCAATTTAATTTTTTAATACAAAATTTTATAATAAGTTATGTTATAACAATTTTTTTTAAATCTCAAATTATAAGCTTGGGATTAACACCTTTTTGTTATTTAATATTTGTTTTTTCCAATTCGGTATTTGGGATAATTTTTTTTTTTTTCAATCCGTTACTTAAGATTATTTTTATTTTTCAATCCGGTATTTGGAACTAAATTTTTTTTTTTCAATCTTGTTTTTGAAAGCAGAAATTCGAAAATTGTTTTTGAACTAAGATTTTCGAAATTAAAAAAAATATAATAATAATAATAAACACTGCATTATCAGCAACCCTGCTTACAACGTACATAAATTTTATGCAACTTACATTTTCATAAAAAGGCTGCAACTAACGGAACGGCTGCAATTAGCGAAGCGGCAAAACAAAATCTGAAATAACACGAAAAAATTAGCAAATCTTGCCATATTTTATGCAATAAAACTGTATATAGCGTCGACTCAGTAAGACCAATCAATCGCATTCAACAGTTAGATTTTTTCAGTTAGGGGCGAAAGTTATTGCTCATCATGTGAAAACGAAAACATTATTTATTTATGTATATATTTGAAAACTCACCTTAATATAATTTATTTATGACTGAGAGAGACCAAATCCAATAATTCAAACTGTAAACAAAAAAACAACTTTTTGAGTAAAGGAAATAGTCATAATGTATAAGTACATAAACATAGCTGGATTCAGTAAGACCAATCAATCGCAATCAACATGAAATTATTATTTTTCAGTTAGGGGCGAAAGTAATTGCTCATCACATCAATATTATATATATATTTTTTTTTGTTTAATAAATTTACCTGCATATATAGATTACGTTTGAATTAAACTGAGTGTATATTTTTGGATATCCTTCAAATTTCAGGCTATTAGTTTGGTAAGCTGAAGTCTGCAAAAAGAATGGTGTAATATAGTTTATACATAAACAAATAAAGCTAAATACTAACCTTAATATATGATATACAAAAAATTATTAAACCTTGAAAACTGTAAACAAAAACCTTAACACGATTATATCGCCAAAACTGCTTTAAAAAAGTTTATATTCATTTTATAGGCTACATTATATATTTTCGTGTTTTTGTTGTCAGCTACAAATTGGTAATATACCATTTTTACAGTTGAGAAATTAAGTAGTCTACATTTACCAGACTTATCTTTAACCTTATAGCTACAATATGCATTATTATTGTATTAATTTGTATATTTGCTGATGTCGACTATTGTGTGTTGTCAATTCATACAAAAATATATGTCTTGAAAAACCATATATGTACTGAGGCTACTCAGACTTGTTTGTTAGTCAACTCTACATTTTTTGCAAACAATTTTTGTATTTAAAAAAAAAAACAGTAAACTAATATTAACGCAATAGATCGGTACTATATAAAATGCACTGCAATACAGTTCATGGACTCGAATTAAACCATCTTTAAGGGCTTAATTCTTTCCTAAGCTTCTTTCTCTCTATCTTTGTCCTTCTTCTTCTTCTTCTTTTTCTCCTTCTTTTCTGTCAACTCCGCCGCCTCTTCCACCACTACTGCTGCTTCGGGAGCCTCTTTATCTGATTTGTGCTTCTTCTTCTTCTTCTTTTCAGACTTTAAAGTATCATCTTGTACGACTGTTAGGGCATTCCCATCTTGGCTGGACGCACTCAGTTTACGCTAAAATAATATATAAACAAATTAGACAACTCAAATCCCCAAAATTTTTAAATATTATTGTGGCACATGCGATAACTCCAACACACATCAAAATAACTTTTTCTTACCTTTTTGCCCTCCTCTGTGCTGCCACCATTTGTTGGTGTTGTATTTTGTGGCGCTACAGCTGCCGCAGGCTTCTTTGCATTGTAATCGACGAAGCCGGTTAACCACTCCTTGGGTGTATTTTCATTTGGACGTCCATATTTATCTAATTTTCCTGCCGCAATAAGTGCTTTCTTTGCTGAAGCTTTAGGTCCCAGGCCCCATTTACGCGGATACGTATCTCTCTCCATAATAACACGTTTGATCTTAGCTACGACACCGTGATCACATGATGCCATTGTTGCTGTCGTCATTTGAGCAATAGCCAAGCAAATTGCCTCACCCTTTGTTGTGACGATAACAATTTCTTTATCGATTTCAATACCATCTTCATAGCGTAAAACACCGGGCAACATGATTTTGGCACCGTAACAAACAGCATTGACCTAAAAAAAAAACAAAAAAATGTACGTTAAAATTAAAAATTTTGGCAAATTTTAGGAATTTTATAATGGACAACTTTACATATACATATGTGCTCCGAATCATTCTTTGGTGCAATAAATTTATTTGATATTGCTACATACACACATCGGATAAACATTGTTGTTCCCAATCATAGTCACAGGGAAAATGGGAAATATATTTTCCCTGCCGGCTTATATCATGGGGTCAATAGTATTGCTATAAATCACAAATAAATATAAAGTAATATAACTAGAGAAACAAATGTATTCTGAATAAATCTTTATTTTGAAGCAGGTAAGACACCTCGAAATATACACACATCGAAAATAGGTTTATGTTCCCAATCATAGTCACAGAAAAAACTAAAGAGTATTTTTTCTGCCGGCTTATATCATGGGGTACATACATATTAATATTAAATTAAAAGAGAAATAAGAGATATTTTAGCATTAAAGTATTAATAAGTTTTAAGTTTATGCATAAAAGTGAAACATTTCGAAATTTAACTTGAAGCAATTTAACAAAGAAAAAACACATATATATTGGAAACAATACTTACCGAGCTATCTTTCATTATAATGCGTTTGTGGTTAACAAGTAAACCTTCTAATGGTTTGATTACTCGTCGCAACATAGACTCGTCTTTGTGATTTTCATACAGGTACATAGCATCTAAAACATCATGCATCGTCACCATACCGTCACGCTCAGATTGTATTCCGGAACGTACACGCCTCAGTTCTAACATTTGGCCACCAACCCCTAGCACTAGGCCCAAGTGCACGCACATGGTACGAATATACGAACCCGCCTCACAGCTAACCCAAAAAACACCTTTAGCATATGACGCAAATTTGAAAGAGAAAGCATAACAATACATAAGGAAATGTGCTTCTGCATTTTTATAAACAAAAGCTTTATATTTTAATTTGGCATTTATTATTATAAATTGAAAATAACACTACTCATATTGAGATGAGTTGTTAAATCAATATGCCCATGCCTTCTTATTTATAATTATAGAAAGAACAATATACGTAAAAACTCCACTTACCCATATTACGAGCCTCATCATAATCCAACAATTTACTGTCATAAACTGTACGAACACGCAATTGTCTTTTAACTGCTGAAATTAAAGGTGGTCGTTGGAAAAGTGCACCACGTAACTTTTCCAAACCTTGACGAACTTTTGCTACCGATTCCACTGGCGAGTGTAGCTTAAATATGGCAACGTATTCTTTACCAGCACTTTGTTGCGATTTAACCAGACGTGTTGCGCGATCAATGCACACAATAAGACAACCTAGAATGTAATGCCAACATTCAATATAGAATACCAGCTCTAATTTGCATATAACAATATATTTACCTGTCACTTTTGGATCAAGTGTGCCAGAGTGTCCAGTTTTCTCAACCTTTAGAATTTTCTTTATCCAGGCGACAACTTCGTGCGAACTCGGATTAGATGGTTTATCCAAATTAATGAAACCCGACTTCATATATTCTTGAATATCTCTATTAAGTGGCGATGATCCATGTGGTAAAGGAGTATAGTGATTGGTACGCACGTTCAGTTTATCGAAATTCTTCAACAACAAAGGCCATTGTGAAGCATCTAACTTCACAGATTTTTCAGATGGCTTAACAGAAAAATCACCAGTTTTTTGTAGCGTTCCAAGATCATCTACATCTATTGGCTCTTCCTTAATTTTCTTCTTTTTCTTTTCCTTTTTGATTTCTACAAATTTTAAGAAAAACCACGCGGTATTTTTTTAAATAAACGTACACGATTAAAGCGGCGATATACATTATTTTGAACAATTAAAGTCTTAGTGAAAATAGTTTTTCTTTAAACATTAATAACGACCAAATAATCTCTTACCAATATCCGCCATTTTTTCAAATTTATTCACAACTTTATTGGACAAATATTTAACACGTTTTATAAAGCAACACGTCCGGCGAATGAAAGGAAGGTTAGAAACAGTCAGAAGAACAAGATGTCAAAATGTAGAGTTGTATTAAAAATTTATCTAGGACGAGAACCGATTTGGACACGTGTTTGACACAGAGTGACTATTTCTCATTAGTATTTGAACACACAGGCAAAAAAATTATTTTAATATGTACAAGCAATCAAAAGTTGTTTCGAAATTTTCGAAACTTGTTTTGAAATATTATGAAGATGCTATCGTTTTTTTAATAAAAATTTAATAATGCATTCAAAGAACTTGTCGCGTTCGTAATTAATATCTGCTGAATTCGACTTTCGTTCAAGCTCATTAGATCAATGCCGAGGTCTTGCTGATGTACCGATAAGCCCTTTATTAATTGTAACATAAAAAGTATTGGATGTATTTGAATATAATTTAGAGAATTGTAATGCGGTTATGAAGCATAAACTCTTTGTGTAAGTGTATTTTAAGTTAAGATATATAAGTTTTGAGCGTAAATTACTTCTCAGAGAACATAAATGTTTGTTAATTTAATCTTGAAAATTTGGCAACATTGTTGAATTCACGGCAACCCTGGAAACTGCAACTCTACCTGTGTTGCTGAAAACAGCTGAATATATAAGTTGGATAACGTTGAATTTACAAAATTCAAAATGGCATTTTTCGGTCTTGTGTGAAATCTATTTGATTATTTGAACGCCAATAATACACATTTGTTAAGTAAAATTTACTACAAAAAGACTGAAAAATACGCCATAACATAATTGTCAATATTATATTGGCTTAAAAAGAAATTTTTATAGTAATAAACCGACGATTTGTTAATAAGAAAATGCCGCGTACGAAGGTTTCCAAGTCTACCAAACGCTTTCGTGAAACGTCTAGTTGTGAAGAAAAATTGCGGGAGTTCGAAGCATCATTTGATGGCTATTTGCACGCATTAGAATTAAAAGGAAAAGCGCAAATAAAATCTATTGAAGACAAGTTTTATATGTTACTAATGGGCACAGATTCCAATGTGCTTGATTTACTAATGGGAGATGTACTGTCTTTGGTATGCAACACTGATGAATATTTCCAAACATACATATTCCATAATTGTAATATTTGTTTTATTTAAGAATTTAACTAAACCTGAAGATTACAAAAAACATTTGAATACTTTGGCGGGAAGCAATAGCGCTGGAGTGAAACAAACCTCGGGAAAGCAATTAAACCCAAATGATGAAGGTAAATTTAAAACAAAACAAACAAATTAACATAATTATAATATTATTTTTACTATGGGGAGAAATGTATTAAATTTTGGTGTTGGCTCTTTTTTCTCTTTCGCTTTTACACATTTTGTAACAAACATACATCATCACTCGCATTTCCATACTTGGTCACAATTTTGAATGCATACACAAAATATAAAAACAAAAACAAAAATTGGTAAAAGGTTACCTTACAGAGGATAGCACAAATGGTGGCAGTTCAGTTGGTGTCTCAACCTCAATTTTAAGTGCATATAGTCGGGCATCAATTAAACAACAGCAACAGCGTGGTCGTACTCCTGGACCACTAAGTTCAGCTAGAGCACGGCGTCCGCGTCGTAGTCGATCAGCTTGCGATGATTTAGTGCAGGTGTCGACAATAAAATCTTCAACAAGTTCCTCTACCGTTATGGATACTCGTATATCGCGGAGTAAAATGCGCACACCGACCGCTACTCGTTCCAAGGCTTTAAGTGCTGATCGTTCATCACAAGTCTGCGGACAACAGTTCTCAATGACAATGTCGGCGTCATCTCCGGCGGCAGCATTTTTACGTTGGCCGAAACCTGGTGAGGTGGTATTGTCCAAATGTGGTAGTCCCGTAGTTGCTCATGTGTAAGTTTGTTACATAAGATTTACAATAAGATTATTTTTTATTATTTACAAGTTTTTTTTTTTATGTAGGATGCCTGATAAATTTGCCAATGTAAATATACCTACAAAGAATGGTGTGTTTTCATTGCGACCAAAGAAACTGGACGAACTTAAATCGGACATCATAGATGCTATTGATGCAGACACACTTAGCCAAATCAAAACATTACATGATAACTTAAATTTGATTATGAAAATGGCTGATGGCTCCTCAACGAAATAGAGCTTATCATTCAATTCAACTATTCATTTCATTTATATAGTATTACTTACTTTCTTCACTAAATATAATGTAAACATTATAATTAACTTAATTTATCACATTTTACACAGAACTATTCCTTTTGTAATGAAATTGTTGAAACATATCTAATATACATATGTGGAATCTTGTAAACACATTGTAATAGAACGAACTTTTGGCGTATCAAGAGGACAAAGTTCGAAAGGATTATCATCCTTGTTAGAAACTTGTGAATAAGATATGTAAAAAAAAATTCTCGTGTAGAAAAATATTTTATTTAAATCGCATAGAAAAGCGTTAAAACCAATAACATTTTATGAAACAAGTTCTTTTAATTATGTAAAATTTAATAAATAATAAAGCAGTTAAAATAAATTTGAAATTGAGCGTTTTGTAATTTTCTTTGATGTGTTTTATTAATTTACGTAAGGTGGATAAGTGCAAATAAGAGCTTAACAAAATATACAAATGAAATAGATGAATGCAAAACAGAGCAATATTGTATTCGTCGTTAATCGTTAACTGCAATTTTAATAATAATTAATATTATAAAACAAAATATGTAAACATCAAGTACTGCTAGATTTGCTATTTAGAAAGCTTTAGAAATAATTTTAGAATTATAAAATTTATTTATTTTAACTTAAGAAAAGAAAAACTTAAATTAAAAAATATATAAATTGGTTTATAATAAAAATTTACTAAAGATGTAAAAAAACGATAATGAATATTAAGGTTCTACCGAGATTTGAACTCGGATCGCTGGATTCAAAGTCCAGAGTGCTAACCATTACACCATAGAACCGCTTACTTTAATTTTCACATTGTGTTATTTCAACTGCAGCCGCTTTAACATTACCATTTCCGCTTTAACATTCTATGTTAATGCCAAAATTAACTAATAACAGATTAGTTTGTTCTATTAATTAACAGTGTAAGTTACAGAAAATTATAGTACATATGTATGTACTTGAGCATATGTATAAGCGTCGTATTTGAAATGTTTGAGAATTTGTGATCCAATATTAGATATGTATGTATAAGTATATACATAAAAGTTTTATAACTCATACTAAAAATGATTACCAGAGAATCTGTAGCAGTCACCTACATTTTTGTTTAAATAAATTCATATTATATACATATGCACGATATCAGAAACAAAATCTAGAAATTAAGTGACTTATTTAGTGAACTGAAATTATATAGAACCAGACCGAATCGCGAGTTCAGAGATAGTAAATATATTGTTTTAACAAACTAAATGTTGCATGTACTTTTCAACGCCTGTGTTCTCAAAAACATGTTGATATCGAAATACTTAGTGAGCAAAACGAATTATCCGTTTTAGTTTGAAATACAAATCTTATATAAATTTAAATATTAAATGCTCTCCTGCGTTTCTTATACAGTTAAAAATTTTTGAGATCAAAAACGAAGCCAGCACAAATTTAATTGCGAGTTTTTGTTCTTTTGCCGGGTTGGAATTATTTTTTATATTTATGTATGAATGCTTCGTTCACTTTAAAAATATGTTCCAAAAAATACAGTTATAGTTAAAGAAAGCTTAACTATTATTAAGGTTCTACCGAGATTTGAACTCGGATCGCTGGATTCAAAGTCCAGAGTGCTAACCATTACACCATAGAACCCTCTTACAAACACACATGCTAAATGACATTTTTCTCTTTTTGCGCTTATCCAAATTAATTCGGCTATTCAATGTCACCGTACGACGCGTCGCGACGTCTTCCGAATATCAGCTAACCATACGCACAATTATTTGATTGGAAACACAAATGTCTCATACCTAGATGGCTATACAGCTACCCAGCTGCTTAAAATGCACTTAAAATTATGTATTTGCATAGGTATTTACATTAGCCCTACATATAGATTAGTATGATAATTACTTAAAATAATCAAATTGATATGAATTTTTATACCCTACACAGTGTATTTTAAGTTTGCCACGAAGTTTCTAACACACAGAAGGAAATGTCGGAGACCCTATTAAATGCATAGGTAATGTCAGCATAATGAGCTGAGTCGATTTAGCCTGTGCGTCTGTCCGTCCGTCTATATACATATATACACACTAGTCCATCCGTTGTTGAGATATCGAACTGAAATTTTGCACCTGTCCTTTTCTCACCAAGAATAAAGTTCTTGTAAGGAACCTTTTGTATTTATGAAGGGTTGTAACTCTATTTTCATCATTCTCTGAAATACTAGTTACATCGAAATATTACAACTTCAACACAAATGAATAATTATGTGTACAAAAAATGCCGTAGCTTCTTGGGGCGAAAAGGACGTGTGCGAAATTTCAGATCGATATCTAAAAGCTGTAGTGCACCTAACACGAGCGTGTACTTCATATTTTACATGGATTAAAAAGCTGTTTGGAAAGTTAGTGCCGCACACGTTACAATCCAACAAAGACTGGATCAAAAAAAGATTTCTCAGCATAATTTGAAGCCTTTTAAGCAGAATAAAACCGCTTTCTTGCCTCGTTTTATAGCCATGGATGTGACTTGGATCTCCCATTATGATGCTAAATTGAAACAAGAACGTTTACAGTGCACTAAAGCTGGTTGTTCAGCTACAAAGCAGGTGAAGTCACAACGATCAGCAAAGAAGGTTATGGCACCACTTTTTTTGGGATGCAAAAAGAATTTTGTTGTTTGATTATCTGCATAAAGGTAAAACATTCAATGTAGAATATTACTGCAGTCTTTTGTATCAGCTGGATGAAAAAATTCGTGAGATAAGACCTGGTTTGCAGCACAAACAAATCTTTTTTCATCAAGACAATGACAAAATTCAACGAATAAAAGTACGAATTGCTTGAGCATCCACCGTAATCATTAGATTTGACTGCCAGCGAATACTACCTCTTCAGAAACCTGAAATAATTCTTTCGTGGTAAGTGTTTTTCGTCGAATGAAGAAGCTATTACAGGGACGGGTATTTTGCAGAGCTTCCGGAAAGTCATTATAGGGATGGCATAAAATTATTGGAGGCTCATTGGAATAGGTGTATTGAAGTTAAGCGAAATTATATTGAAGAAAAAATATATATTTAGTACCAAAAACAGTATTTTTTCATTTCGAGCGCAGAAATTTTTCAACCAACCTGTATTTCGTGTTTGCATTGTATCGCTTCTTAATTTCTAAGCACAAACCCGTCCTTAAATTATGTATGTGATAATTTAGCAGACAAAATCTCTAAATTTTGAAACGATAATTATTTTCGGGCTGTCGTAAGCAGCTTTAATGTCGCCAACAGATGGTGCTATCGTTTTCCTGTTTTTTCTTTCAAAATTTTTCGCAAGCGCAAACCCTACTTACCATTGCATAAACAGCGCTCCAGGTAATATCCATGTGTGACAATATATTTCTTGTATGCTTTGTTGTTATTTGCATTGCTGTTTCTTGTTGCTAATTGTTTTTACCATTCATTATTTCATTTAATTAGACAACGCATTTTAAGATTTATTTATGGTTATTTATTTTTTTTACCTTTAACATTATATAGTTGTTGTGGTGGTGTTGATTACTTATGCGTTACAAATTACATTTATAAAGAAGTATTGTTTTTGTCTTTTATTTTTATTTTAAGATTGTGTCGTGTTTCGACGCTCAAAAGATCACCAAAGTTACTGGATTCCCATATTTCGTTTTCGTTTAAGCATACAATTCATACATCATATGCATAGAGATGAATGTATGTAGGTATGTTTTTTTATTTTATTTTTTTGTTTATATGTATGTGTCCGAAAATGCATAAATGCCTAAAAATGTGTACGTTATCTCAATATGCCAAGTGAGTACATACAGCATGTACTCGTATGTATGTATGTTTTTTCTCTTCGACAAACTAAATATTTTTACATTATAACAGCGGTAAAAAAAACGAGCGCACATACATACATACATACAATAATAAAAAAATCATATTATTAATTTACAATGTTGGTTTCTTAGCACATTTTGCATAAGCAAACGTTGCTGTTTTGTCAAGTATACATTACACATACATACATACTTAAAATATATACAAATACTAATAAGTACAATATATAGGCGGTTGAAGAATGAATTAAAAATTATTTTTATTCCCGGCATAATCCTTAGTAAAAATATACCTGCGGTATATGAACTTATACATTGTATATGTATGAGTATATATTATATAATATAATTGTATGCGTACATATACATACATGTATTTGGCAAATCTGCTTCCGTGCACATATGTACTTATGTGTATTAATACATTTATATGTTTCAACGTTGGCTACTACAGTTGGAAATACTGTATATGTATGTATATGTATATATGCATGTATTAAGACATTTATATAAATATATATGAATATTATTCTACTTAATTGCAGCTCGATATTAAAGTGGTCAGCTTCCCGGCTTTTTGACTTGTTTCAGTATTTTTGTGTAATATTAATTTTTGTTTTGCTTGTTGTTTTTTTTTAGTTTTTCACTATTAATGTTTGGTTATGTGCATATATATTGTGTAAATATGTCTGTATGTATGTATGTCGTTATATAAACCATTATCAATAAATACATAAGCACTAAGAAAATTTAATTAAAAACAATAAAAAACATTAACTTCGGTTGCACCGAAGCTGTAATACCCTTCACATATGCAAAAGACTCCTTACATGCGCTTGATTTCGATCGGTTAGTTTGTATGACAGCTATATGCTATAGTGACCCGATCTAAACAATATCTTTGGCGCCACGATGTGTTGTTATTTAAAAGTCATGGGGTGACCTCACGGTAAGCTGGCTGCCGGCTGGCTCTATATAAGTAAAGCAAGCACCGTGCCTGGCCAGTGCTTAGGTGACTCTCCCGCCACGATGGGATGTCATTTAAAAGTCATGGGGTGACCTCACGGTAAGCCGGCTGGCTCTATATAAGTAAAGCAAGCACCGTGCCTGGCCAGTGCTTAGGTGACTCTCCCGCCACGATGGGATGTCATTTAAAAGTCATGGGGTGACCTCACGGCGTCGGCTGGCTCTATATAAGTAAAGCAAGCACCGTGCCTGGCCAGTGCTTAGGTGACTCTCCCGCCTCGATGGGATGTCATTTAAAAGTCATGAGATGACCTCACGGTATGCTGGCTGCCGGCTGGCTCTATATAAGTAAAGCAGGCACAGTGCCTGCCCAGTGCTTAGGTGACTCGCGCGCCACGATGGGATGTCATTTAAAAGTCATGAGCTGACCTCACGGTAAGCTGGCTGCCGGCTGGCTCTATATAAGTAAAGCAGGTACCGTGCCTGGCCAGTGCTTAGGTGACTCTCCCGCCTCGATGGGATGTCATTTAAAAGTCATGAGATGACCATCGGTATGCTGGCTGCCGGCTGGCTCTATATAAGTAAAGCAGGCACCGTGCCTGGCCAATGCTTAGGTGACTCGCACGCCATGATGGGATGTCGTTTGATAGTCATGAGCTGCCCTCACGGTAAGCTGGCTGTCTGGCTCTATAAGTAAAGCAGGCACAGTGCCTGCCCAGTGCTTAGGTGACTCGCGCGCCACGATGGGATGTCATTTAAAAGTCATGAGCTGACCTCACGGTAAGCTGGCTGCCGGCTAGCTCTATATAAGTAAAGCAGGTACCGTGCCTGGCCAGTGCTTAGGTGACTCTCCCGCCTCGATGGGATGTCATTTAAAAGTCATGAGATGACCTCACGGTATGCTGGCTGCCGGCTGGCTCTATAAGTAAAGCAGGCACCGTGCCTGGCCAATGCTTAGGTGACTCGCACGCCATGATGGGATGTCGTTTGATAGTCATGAGCTGCCCTCACGGTAAGCTGGCTGCCGGCTGGCTCTATATAAGTAAAGCAGGCACAGTGCCTGCCCAGTGCTTAGGTGACTCGCGCGCCACGATGGGATGTCATTTAAAAGTCATGAGCTGACCTCACGGTAAGCTTAGGTGACTCTCCCGCCTCGATGGGATGTCATTTAAAAGTCATGAGATGACATCACGGTATGCTGGCTGCCGGCTGGCTCTATATAAGTAAAGCAGGCACCGTGCCTGCCCAGTGCTTAGGTGACTCGCGCGCCACGATGTGATGGTAAAGTCAGGTGACCGCACGGGCAGCTGGCTCTATAAAAGATAAGCTTACGTTCTCTAATACAATGTGCGCGTCAATGTCAAGAATGTCAGTTGGCTCCCTGTGAAGCGGTCGTGTGTGGAATTGAATATGGAATAGTAAAAGTTCTATGTTCACATCTTATCCTCTATACGAGGCCCTCTTTCCACAAGTGGTATGGCAAATGAATTGATTTGCTAGTGTATAAATATATCCTCAAACTTTTAAAACATTTCATGCAACAGTTTTATAAAAAAAAAATTATTAAAATCACTGTCAAAAAAACTGTTTAACGCGAAATGAGTATGAAGTTGAAACAATGACAGTTATAAATACAATAATAAATCCTACAAACTTTGTTGTTGTTTGTTATGCCGGCGAAACAAATAATTATATGCGCCAAAGTTATGGTATATATGCACATGTGTATGTATGTACATGTATTAAAATTATGGAAAATCAAAATTTGTAAACAATATTTCTGCTATGAATTATATATGTATATGTATGTATTGAATGTGTTAGCTGTATGCGCTTATTTTGTTATATATTGCAATTACATACATACAAACATTAGTATATTAGTATACAATTTGTTTGTTTATATTTACATGTCATGTTTAAAGTATTATATTTCGTGTATTTGTATATGTTTTTACATTACCACATCTATGTAAGTATTTAAAGCATTCAATTTCCACTGTTTACGCTTATTGTTTTCGAAAATGTTCAATAATTGTGTGACACATTGACTTTTAACATTTCAAAAACACTTTATTTGGCCTTTTTATCTACGATTTACTCGTATAATACATACACACATTAAGAAACCGTTAGCAATTGCATTACAACTTGTTTATTTTTGCATATTTTACCAATTCCTCACATTTTTTTTTATTTTTGTTCGACTAAATACCTATATTGGTTATTAATTACGACATTGCAATCAGTTCATTAAAGCTTTATTTAAATAGACAATTAAATGTTAAGTATGCTTTGAGTTGTCTTCTTGCGCTAAAAATTATGTATTATTTGCCATAATTATAAATGCACGTTCACTTCAAGTTTACACGTTGAACCACGCGCGTTTACTTACACTTTAGTTTAAGAAAAAAAATGTTGTTTTTGGTTCAGTTATCAAAAATATGCATTGTTATTGTAATAATAACATTAAGTAAAACCATAAAACCGTAAGTAAAATCTTGTTTCGCATGAAACATGAAATTTATCGAAAATAAATCTGCGCGGAAAAAAATATCGTTTAATTACACTTATATTTAAATTTAACATAAACTAATGAAGACTGTCCGACGCCAATAAGAGACAGAGAGAAGAAAAACAAGACAAAATGTGAAATTCTGCTGCATCGAAGCTATAGTACCTTCCACAGGGGCATTTGTTATACCATAAAAATTTAAAAAATTATCTTTATCTTGATTTTGATAGCTCAGTTTATATGGCAGCTATATGCTATAGTGGTGCGATCTGAAAAATATGTACGAAAATTGTGGCATTGCCTTGGACAATAATGTATGCCATATTTCGTGAAGATATCTTATCAAATAAAAAAGTTTTTCGTACAAGAACTTGATAATGATCGGTCAGTTTTTACGGCAGCTATAAGCTATAGTGTTCGGATATCGGCGATACCGACAAATGAGCTGTCTCTTGGGGAAAACGGACATATATGAAATTTCATAACGATATCTCAAAAACTGAGGTAGTAGTCCGATATATAGAGATGGGCAGACGGACATTGAGTCGTCCTGTTGATAATTTTTACAAATATATACTTTATAAGGTCATCCACGTTACCTTCTGGGTGTTGTAAACTTCGTGGCAACCTTAATATGCCTGTTCGGAGTATAAATATAAGCCTCTCTTCAAAAGTATAAAATGGAAGTTTTGGTTGATGTTGTAAACATGAAGATATGTAAAAAATATGTATTTCCAAAGTACACTGTTCAACGCGCACATATAAACGAATTTCGCTAACAATTTACTCATGAAATTTGATAATAAATAAATATTGTACAATTTGAGAAGCGTTAAAGAAATTGGACACAATTTTCTGATATGTGTGTAGTCGAGATGGTTTCCTTTGATTAAGTTATGTAGCCTAGGTTTGTAGATTTATTTTTGGAATTGCACAGTAATCTAATATGCATAATTACAATGTACAAGTGTCGGAGTGTTGTTATCTAATTCGAGTTTCTTATTTCGCCGCACAACTGTTTACCAGCATGTAGCAACAGTCGCAACATTTTATGTGCGGGAGTAGACAACAACATTTTTGAATAAAAAATATTTTTTAAATACCCTACCTTGCTCTATTAGTTATTACTTTGTGTTTTTTGCAAATGAAGACAATTGAACTCTAAAATACACTTTAAACACTTTTTACCTACAAACTTCTATTCAAATTATATCCACTTGTGCATTTCAAAAAATCGAGTTTATTTTTGTATATACATACTTATGTATATCGAATGTACCTACATTTTAGAATATTCTCTGAAAATGTGCAGTTGTTGTCGCAAATAGTTTTGAAGATATGAGCGTATTTGCAAGATTTTTTTGTTTAATCTTAGTGTAAACGGCTTTCAAAACTTTAAACGCATTTATCTCGAAATGTTGTTTGCAGAGTTGGCGAGGAAAATTTCTCCGATACGGCTGGATTGATCAACTTGAAATTTGCACACGAGCTTTTTAGATAAATACACGAGGAAATAAGATTTTTGATAATGATAACGATTTTTGTTAATTATTTCGATTTTTTAAGTTACTTTGAGGTGTAAATTAACACTAAAATTACTTATTTGGAAAGTGGCAATTCTTTAAAAATCAAAAATTTCATCCACAGTAATAATAATTTATTTTTGGATTTGCGATAATTTTAAGCACTAAAATCTTCTTCAACGCCAGACACAATTTTTCGGTGGTGCTTCTGTAGATTGGCTAGGAAATCAAGGGAAGCCAAAAGTTGTCACAATGCTTCGCCGCTTTTTAAAGTACATTAAATTCTGTATTTTTACATTTCGTTTTTAATTATTTATTAAACAAAATGGCGCTTCAAAAAAAATCTCAAAAAACGCGTTTTTTGCTGACTTGCAAGTGGATATAACGCCTTATCACTTTTGTCACTCAATCGTCAATACAAATTTAAGCGGTAGGTTCTAAATATAAAAATTATGCAATTTACTGTTTTGAAACTTTCAATGACACGTACCTGTTTATGTGTATATAAACGCAATTTTTTTTTATATAGTTTTGTATTTAATATATTCTGAATGCTTTTAAGTAATTATAATAAGTTTCCATATATACACATATACATACCTATATATATATTATTTATATATATATATATATACATATATATATGAATCTATGTTATATTAATAAAAAATTATAATTAATCCCTTGTTTAGAAGAAATGAAATCATCGCATTATTGGCAACACCGTTTCGGTGCGTCATACAATTAAATTTTCTCTTTATAAATACATATTCGTAGTTAAAGTCTAACGCTTGGTTTTTTCCCGCTTCCCTCTCTTTGCGTTGCTTATCTTAGTTAACTTATAAAATAAAAGTTACATTTTTGATTTATTTCACTAAATTTACGACATTTTGATATCGATTTTTTGTTTTTTGTTTGTTTTATTTTTTTGTATGCTTATGTATTTATTATGCTTCCCGGTTTTTTTAAGTGCTTAAAATTAATATTTCGTTTTTGGTTTTTTGCTTTTTATTATAACCTCAAATGTTGTTAGTTAAAAAATTAAATTAAAGAGAGAGAAAAACAATGTAATGTTAACTTTAAGCTGTGTCATTAAACAAATTGTTATAACTGTTAATTGCCAGGCGTTTTTTAAATGCCTCAATGGCCAGCGGCCTTGTTACTGCTGCTGCTGCTCGTTCCAAACACGAAAATACAGTTCTCTTTTTTTGTACAACTAAGGCTTAATGCGAAATAATTAATAAGTATATATGTGTATGTATGTAAGTAATTATGTATTTTAATGCTTAAGTTATTGTTAACGCATTCGTTTAAAATATCGTAATTTTTTGCTACTTCTACTTTGCTTGTAGAGCAGGTGCAGGTGCAGGTGCATTTGATATGGGTTCATGAGATTTAACACACGAGATTACGTGAAACTATGCAAAAAAAAAAAAAGAAACAAAAAAAAAATACAAACATTTTTTTGAAAATCGAAATTATTTTGAGTAGATTGGTGAAACTATTTAACGATTTACAATGGAATAAGAAAATTTTGGCACATGGTTTTTTTCTTTTTTCTTTTCAAAATTACCGCAAGATTTGCAATACCTATAATTATGAGAAATTAATATAAGCAGGAATACATTGTTGCAGTATATGAACTTAACAACTTATTTCATTATTTTACTTTACTAAATGTCTGCATTAATTTACTAAATACGAAAACAAAGTATATAAGTATGAGTGTTGCCATTTACTGTGGTTTGAGTACAAAGTTATTCGCTTATAAATGTTTGAATGAGTTTCTAACTTGCGTTTTACAAATTTTTCGAATACGTGTAATACGTGAAAAACGAGCAAATTAATTGACATATAATTGTTTGATAGAAATATATGTAAATTGGCCATTACAGCTGCGTAAAATTGCTGAGCTTAAGTGCTTAAAAACTAGACTTAACTAACTTAAAGTTCATAGACGTTCAATTAAACGTAAGTGACGTTGTGTTATTTTGTGTTTTGGTTTTTTTTTGCGTTTTTTTGTTTGGAGTTTACATTTACCTACAGCGTAAATTTGCGTGTAATATATGCACTACACAGGGAAGGTACTAATGCGGAGACGGATGACGACGTGTTGTGGCAAACTTAAAACGGAAGTTAATTTATTCTTTATCAGCAAAATGAATGTATTTCGTTTTGTTTTTTTTTTGTTGTTTTGTTTTAAATAATTGTACCATTGTAAAACACATTTCAAATATATTGAAATGCAATTGAGTTCATTGAGAAAGCTTAGCATATTCGTGATACTTCGAGTTTTGGGGTACTATATGCAAATCGATCCAGCAATTCATTACAAATGCATACTTATGTAGATAACTGTGAGTATCAGGGTTGCAAATAATGCATTAAAACAATAGAATTAAATCTTTTTTTTTTGTACTCCCGAAAATTTTAATTAAAAATAATTTTTAAATTTTTAATCCTAAATAACGGTTTAAAAAAAAACGAAATATTTATTATTAGATTTACTAAATACCAAATTGAAAAAAAATTTAATCATACTTGTGATATTGTGTAATTAAATAATATTAAAAAAAATTGTTTTCGAATTTAAAATTTTTCGTGTTCTACCATTTTAAAGTACAGCTAAAAAAAAAACGAAAAAAAAAATTTTTTAATTTGTAATACCAAAAATCGCATTAAAATAAGGTTTAACAAATACAGGATTGAATTGAAAATTAAATTTAATTAATTGCAAGAATATAATTCAAAACTATAAAAAAAATTAATTGTTTTAGAATTTGAACTAGTCGCACAGTGCCGTTACGCTAGAGCAGCGGTCGGCAAACTTAAAGATTCAAACGATTTATATTTTATTAACTTTTAACTCTAGTTTTGAGTTTAAAAATTAATTTTAAATTATTATTTTGGGATTAAAAATTAAATTTAAATTTAAATTTAAAATTTTTAATTCTGATTTTGTGATCAAAAATAACATGTTAAAAGTTTAATTCTGATTTTGTGATCAAAAATAACATGTTAAAAGTTTAATTCTGATTTTTGGAATAAAAATTAATTTTAAAATTTTAATTCTGATTTTGGGATAAAAAATTAATATTAAATAATAATTTTGGGATTAAAAATTATTTGTTCTACTTTTAATTCTGATTTTGGGATTAAAAATTAAAATGTTAATTCTGATTTTGTGATTAAAAATGTGAAAAAATAATGATTTTGGCATTTCAAGATGTTGCGATGTTTATAGTCTAATTTTTAATTCAAAATTTTGGTATCAATGTATTTGCAACCCTGGTCAGCATGTTATTTTGTTGTTGTTGTTTTCACAAGCCATGGAAATTTAAATTGTACCCACTGAAAAGTTTTAAGTAGCCTCTAACTGTGCAGTTTTACGAATATCTAAGCCAGAGAAATTGGAATTAAAAATACATAACTTAACTTATTTATTAAGTAATTCGCTTGACATTTTTGCATGAGTTACAATTTTTCTATTCAAGAAGTTTTTTGTTTTTTGGATTTGTATTTATGTATATTCAAACCTGTTTACTGGTTTAATTAGTAATTAGTTGAAAGTCACAAACATGTAAACACATGTAATTTAAAAGCTATTCACTTTATGGGTTGTTGTACGTGTACAAAATGAAAATAATTTATATGCACATTATAAACAAATATTAAAAAAAATAAAAATTTTCCAACTACAATACATATATGTCGAGAGCTGGTTATAAGTGTATTATAACATAATTAGTTAATAGAATTCATATAGACACAATCGATTCATATTTGTGTAGCATATTGTAACATGACATAAATTAATAAACATTATTGTTGGACTTATATTTCGGAACGCAATGTGGAAATAAAGTATATATATATAAAGTTTCATAAATATACAAATTTCGCATAGTTGCGACGTAATCTTGAAACACTTTTCTACTTACATACAAAATTATTTACTTCTTCGCATATACTTCATGATTTAAAACAAAAGCAAAATTGGAATTATTATAGCGTTTTCAAAATATAACAGCGTTGGAAGAAACAGAATCTCGCTAAAAACATATTTCATTCTATACTATCAACTTTTTAGCTTAGACATGGATTGTATTGTTCGTTAAAAAGTCCCAGTTAAGTTCATTTTAACTTATTGTTCTTCTGCAGTTGCAGTTTGTTATTAATATAAAATTTTGTATACTTATCTCTAGTAAAATGATGCATCGATCTGTGTTGTTGTTGTTGTTTGTCTTACTACTATTTTCTACAACATTGCGCATTTCCTTTCTATTTTGTAGTTGTTATTGAATTGTTTTTCAATTCAGACAAAAAAAAAACCAATTTTCAAAATTGCTTTAAGCAAAGTACATGACCTTTTTCGTGTCGGCATGCACCGTTATAGCACGTGCCATTGCGCCTGGTGTACGGTCTTCTGAGCAACCGCTTTGATGAGATCCTTCGCCGGAATCATGTTCCTTCTCAACTAGATGGTATCTAAGAAGAAACGGAGATGATGCATTAATAATGACAATTCAGTTTGCTACTACAATTTTAATATGAAAATAATATGTATTTATAAACATAACAGTATACTTTTACATACCTAGCTCTGAAAGCTACTAAATGAGCATAATAGGCGGGTGCTGGTATCGACACGGAGCGTGTACACCTTACATAAGTGTGACACAGTTGATATGTCAAACATTGGAGTTCATCGGAATCAAAATGATTGTCATCCCATAATACGTGATAATGCGAAGGTCGGCTTGTGCCCTGTTAAAATACATTCAGTTCAGTAAAACAGTTCAAACACAATATTAAGCTAATTTATACCTGTATGCCTTGATGACTACAAAGATAGAAGTCGAATTCGGTCGGGTGTGTAATACCAACATCCACTGTTGTGCCAGCCGGTATGTTGCCAGATTTGCCGCTCTGCTCTTTCTTCTCTGCGCAGAAGAGACGTGTATGATGTCGCTTTTGCACCACAATAAATGTAATACCAGGGCGATAATCGGCTTCCAGTTTAATGCACGCTTCGCGTATAGCGGTTAACTCATGTTGCAATACATGCGGGAATTGACCCTCCGAAACACCGTCACGATATAATATGATACGATGAGGCTTATAACCGCCAGTAGATTTGTAAAACATGATCAATAATTCGCGCACCATGCTGCTGAGTTCTTGTATAATCTCCTGACGATGTTGTTGCACACGTACTGTAGCGGCATAGCGTGATGGATGAGCATCCATAGAGCCAACAACTGCGGCAATTGAAGGTTTCTTATTATCACCGGCTGGAGGATGGGTGACGTCTGCGCCTAGGAAGATGACTGGTTCATTGAAAACCTTCGGACGAATCGAGGGTACCAATATGGAATTGATGCCACCCAATTTAACATTAATTTTGAGGCAAAGATTTGACAAAGTTTGCGGTGATGTTTTATTAACATTCTTAGCCTGAACACACTGTGTTGCCATGCCCAACACTGTGTCACCGACGCGTTTTACTTCAGCTGTAAGTTTGGCAAAAATAAAATGAGATCGATAGGTTAGCATCATGTTTATCAATTACGAAAAATTAACAATCAACTACCGTAAACAGGTGTTTTTCCCGGTAGCACAACCACCACCAATTGCAAAGCATTAAACGAATTCTTTAAATATCTAAACATGGGCTCCACTTGATCTGGTCCGGTTGCGTATTTGCAGAAGCACGGTTGCCCGATTATGGGCATGCCAGCGTCGTTTGATATTTTCTGCAATTGCTGAGTAAAATTTCGCAAAGCATCTTCACGCACTGTCCTTTGTGGCGCAAAACAAGCGATAGCCCAAACACGAATTTCCACTCCAGTGAAAAATTGTTTACCGCGCATATCCCAAACACCCTGATTGGGCGAAGCCAAGCTGACCTTATTCTGGGGTGGGAAAAGTTGCTATTCGGGAATGAAAAAAAAAGTTATATTTAAACATATTAAAATGTAATATGAAAAAAATTGTGCACAAATACAAATAAAACCAGTATGGAAGAGCCAAGTTCGGATGTAACCGAACATTTTATACTCTTGCAACTTGCAAGGATCAAAACATCGGAAATACATTCAGGCCAAAGTAGTAGCCAAACTTTGTATTGAACTAGAAAAAACGTTAGCTTCAGCTGCACCAAAGCTCTAAAACCCTTCACAGGGGCATTTCGTATAGCATAAAAGGGTACAAAATTTCTTTTATCTTTGATCGATCAGTTTGTATTGCAGCTATATCTTATAGTGGAACCACCGATGTTCCGAGTAACGAGCAGCCTTTAAAAAAAAAAGGTGTGCTACTTTGTTAACAATAGGTGTGATTGACCCTTTGTTTACATTATAAGCCCAATGAATTTCTTGGTTACATTTTCCCGAGGTCAACGACCCTTTTTTTTTACATTTTATGAATTCAATGACCCTTTTGTTTACATTTATCCAAGACAACAACCTTTGTTTACACTTAGCCAAGTCCACAACCTTTGTTTACATTTGGCGTCAATGACCCTTTTGTTTACATTTTATGGGGTCAATGAACTCTTTGTTTACATTATGAGGTCAATGAACTTTTTGTTTACATTTTATGGGGTTAATGAACTCTTTGTTTACATTATGGGGTCAATGAACTCTTTGTTTACATTTTCCCAAGGTCAACGACCCCTTTGTTTACATTTTATAAGTTCAATGACCCGTTTGTTTACATTTAGCCAAGACAACAACCTTTGTTTACATTTAGCCAAGTCCACAACCTTTGTTTACATTTAGCCAAGTCCACAACCTTTGTTTACATTTTATGGGGTTAATGAACTCTTTGTTTACATTATGGGGTCAATGAACTCTTTGTTTACATTATGAGGTCAATGAACTCCTTGTGTACATTTTCCCAAGGTCAACGACCCCTTTGTTTACATTTTATGAGTTCAATGACCCTTTTGTTTACATTTAGCCAAGACAACAACCTTTGTTTACATTTAGCCAAGACCACAACCTTTGTTTACATTTAGCCAAGTCCACAACCTTTGTTTACATTTTATGGGGTTAATGAACTCTTTGTTTACATTATGGGGTCAATGAACTATTTGTTTACATTATGAGGTCAATGAACTCTTTGTTTACATTTTCCCAAGGTCAACGACCCCTTTGTTTACATTTTATGAGTTCAATGACCCGTTTGTTTACATTTAGCCAAGACAACAACCTTTGTTTACATTTAGCCAAGTCCACAACCTTTGATTAAATTTAGCCAAGTCAACAACCTTTGTCTCAATTTAGACAAGTCAACAAACTTTTGTTAATTTGGCCTAGTCCACAAGCTTTGTTTACATTTTATGGGGTCAATGACCTCTTGTTCGGATCGGTCTGCTATAGCATAAAGTGTCATACAAACTGACCTGTCAAAAACAAGCCGCTTTATAGAAAACTTTTTTATTTCGCGAGATATCTTCATACAATTTGGCATGGACCAAGGCAACGCAACAATCTTTGAAAAAATTGTTCAGATCGGCTCACCCTAGCCTTCAAGCTGACCGATCATGTTAGCTTATTCCATTTATTTTTCTAGTAATAACCAGGTCGTACAAAATTACTTCTCCGAATATTTATCACTTCCACCGTTAATTTCTTACAAGTATTACTGTTTGAAAATCATACCATTAGCCCGATTATATCCATTTTAGGCACAAAGATACACTGTTATTAGAAAAATATGCTCTTTCCATTTCATTAAAATAACTTCCACAATGGCCGATATATGTGGCATAAAGTCAACTGGAAGTTCGAAAATCTTTATATTAGGTATATGGGAGCTAAGGGAAGTATTCATCCGATTCAACCCATTTTTGATACAAGGGTATATTATTATCAAAGAAACATTTTCTGAGAATTTCAATAACATATCTCACATATTGACCGATATTTTCGGCAATATATCAGCCATACGCACTTCGGTATGTGGAAGCTTAAACAGTTAAGGTTGGATTTTGACAACTTTTAGACTAGCGATTGCATACCTCAAAGGCACTATTTGTGCAAAGTTTTATCCGACCGAATAATTGTGTACTGGAAAGTGAAAGAATTATAGAGAATTTAAAAAAATGCTATATGGGAAGTAGGTGTGGTTGTAGTCCGATTGTGCCCATTTTCACAATGTAACATAGGATCGTCAGAATCATGTTATGTACCGAAATTGGTCGAGTAGGTTCGGAGATATGTGATTTCACCTAAATGTAGTCGGTGCCACGCCCATCATCCAATTTTGACCGCGTCTCCTATAAAGCCCGCTTGTATCATCCTGCGTGTAAAATTTACCAAATTACAGGTTGTATTTTAATTTAGTGCTTTATTACGGCATTTTATAGGTTTTTGATGCGTGACAGTGGTCCGCTTACGCACATCTATGAACTCCACCTCAATTTTTTCCCCAAGGAACACGTGGTACAGTTTCATTAAGATATCCTAATTTTTTACTCAAACGGACAGACGGACAGACGGACGGAGGGACAGATAAACAGTCACTCGGACTTCAACTCGTCTCATCATACTGATCATTTATATATGTATATACATGTAACCCTATATCTAACTCCAATATATTTAGGTGAAACAATCAACCGTTAGATGAATTAAACTATTATAATCTGTATATAAAAAGTAGTCATGTAATGCACCAAATTGGTTACTGTGATCCACTATCAAAACTGTTCAATAATGCTTGTTCAATGCTTTTCAAACTCACCTGTCCAGTCATACTTGATACACGCCCGCCGTATTGTAGTTTTGGCGGTGGTAGCACACGACCACGTACTTCCATCATAGAGTTAGAAATGGTCAAGCCGAATTCCTGAACATATGAATCGTTATTGAAGTCGGCTCGCTTAACTAAATTATTAATTTCACGCTCACGATCGGGAGCCGAACGTGCTGTAGCTTTAATCATTGTCGACGTTTGCATATCGGTGAGTTTTTTAATGCAACGTTGACCGGCGACAATATTACAAACTTCCAAGGGTAAATATGTATGCTTATGTTCCTGTCCTACCTGAAGACATGGCAAATGTGGATAACGTAATTTCATGCGGTACTTATCCAAGAAGTACTTTGCTACAGTACACTCAACAGTTTGACCATTTTCTAGCTGAAGGGGGAACCTAAAACGATATTAGACAAATAAATTATATTAATATAAAAAAAATATCGATAAAAATTGCGAATTTAAATACTCACGATTGCATTTGTGCTGGACGACGTGTAACATTGCATACACGATATTTGCGACGCATGGCACCACAATGGGTAATTTCAATCTTAAGACCCTTGATTTCTTTTGTAAATTTGACGCGCTGCGAATCTGTCAGCGGCTTTCTTTGCTCGTTAATATCTCGTATATCGAGTACTTCGCACATAAAATCTATTACTGGCTGCGCCTTATAAAATGCCGTTGCCGAAACTAAATGAAAGACAAAAACCGACAACAGTTAAAAAATATGCATATGTATGTTGTTGTTGTAGCGGCAGAATATGCAAATGTGTGTACATGTACTTTACTACTAAATATGTACTACACAAATTTTTTTTTTTTTTTTTTTTCAATAAAATAATATTTTTTTAAAGAATATAAGATTTTTTTTTATTAGAAAATAGTATTTTTTTTGCAAGAAAAATAATTTTTTTTTTATTGTTATATAATATATTATTTTATTTTTTTTTGCAATAAAATAATATTTTTTTATATTTTTTTTTTGTTATATTATAATTTTATTATATTTATTATAATAAATAATATTAATATTTAATATTTTTTCAGCAACACTCACCGTCAATATTCAACATCATTTTCCATTGTGAAGGACGCACACTTTGATGAAAACCAAACCAAACCTCACGGCCACCACCCAAAGGATGATAATAGCCATCTGGCGAGCTAAAGAAGCTGCGACCAACAGGCGTGTACGTCATACTCGGCAAATGTCGCATTACAACATCTAATGCAAGTATTGCATCATATGGTATCTGACGTGTACGTCCCTCCAGAGCTTCCTCTAAATTGAAAAGCGATACTTGAGCCATCCATTTAATTGTCACACGGAAAATACGATCTTTCCCTTCGCCTGGCAGCGTTACTTCCAATTCCAGGCGATCATTGCCTATGGGTAGCGGATCACGCGTATATAAATTATTACGTCCATCAAATACTGGCTTTAAAACACCGAATATTTTGCTGTATGCATGTACCATAGTCTCTATGATTTCACGATTTACTTTGCGCGGACACTTGTCCGGTTGAATATTGATATCGTAATGATGTACATAGCCGCGCGGCATAGACACCTGAAAGTGATTGGCGCGTAAAACAATGGGTCGTCCCTCACGTCCCAAGTTTGGCCGGCGCGGACATGTAAATACTGGCAGTTCAGGTTGCGTGGTGGGAGAAGCGGCAGCTGTCGCACCCAATGGCGAGGCGACTGCGGAGGCTTGTGTTGCCAGACCTGCTGCACCGGCGCCACCCACAGTTGCGCCTCCAACGGCCACATTTTGCGCACTCGGGCTGGTCACGGCGGTGGGATTCACTGATGAACCGGTAGCTGGTGGCGCTGTTATAAACCAAATATGTTATATAGTTGTATAAATTCACATACAGCATATTATATACATATGCATTGACATACAAAAATAATAATAAGAACTACTAATAAACGCAAATGGTATACGATAGAAGCTGCAAATAACAAATAAACAATATACGAGTAAGTCAAAATGAATGCGATTAGTAATAGCAACTGTATTATAAATTTGGTAATGGTTAGTAGTAATACTAAGACTAATAGAAAATTCTTATATACTCAAGATTAGCTGCAGAATGAAAAAGATGTAGAAGGAACATACGTAATTGTAATACGACTGATGGACATTTGCATTTGCCATTAAAACATAATTTACGTATAATTTTTCGACGTTCTAGCACAAACACAGATTATAGTTAGTTTGGTTTTATTAATAGTACAAGCAATAAAGTTTCGTAAAATTTAAATAAATATCAACTTAAATAGCAAAAAAAGCCAGTCAAACTGAAAAATAACCTAAGACTTTAGTATTAGTATAAATAAATAATTTAAAAGATTATTAACTTTTCGCTACTGACATGTGTTCTAATCTAATGCTTACAAACTATGTAATAAAAATGGCTTGCCATGCAGATTTTAAATTTCCTAAAATTTTAATAAAACTCTTTTTACTAAAACTGGCTGAAACACGATGTTTTTTTTTTCAATAAGCTTTTAAGCTTATCAAAGACATGAAGACCCGAATTAAAATTCAAAAAGCTGGAAAAGCGCGGAACGAAATTTCCACACACGACGAAAACAAAAAAAAATCTATAAAGTGTCTTGTTTCAGCTTGATTACACTCTAAAGTAGTACTTTTGACTACTTCATAAAAATTCAGATGCACGAAAGATCTGTTTAAAGGCGTTGCCAAGCGCGTTTGCAAACTATTCATTCAATGTGTCACAAATCAATGAAAATGATGGCGCATTTGAGCTAAATTGCTCGTCAAACTGTTTGTAATCGCACTTATGATCCGGGTCTGGTTGTCAGCGATATTATCTTGTTATCTCAAGATCTCTAGAGAATTTTTGTCTAAGATTGGTATAGTTAAATGATTTACTGTCCGTATATCGCTCAAAGTATTTATTGATTTACGTTAGAGCTAAAATTACATTTCTCATACTATGAAAATCGTATTTGCAATATATTAATTTATTATAAATATACAAATAAATTTTAAAATAAATAAAAATAAATGTTTGGTTAGTTTAACAATTTAAAGAAATAAAAATATACAGTACATTTGCAGGGTTGTTGTGGCAATCACGACATATTTGCTTAGCTATCAGTATTACCAACCAATTCTGATTGGATCGTATCGTCACCTTTTCGAAAGTGAGCAAAACAAATATTCGAATCAGCTATATTATTTACGCCATGTCACCGAAAACCCAAAAAAAACAAAGAGCACTGATTCAAACATTAAATCTATATCAGAACTCATGATAACTACAACTTTTTATCGGTTTCAATACTGATACCGACAATTATCACATTCCGCAATAACCCCGATTTTGTTATTAGTAATTATGCAATAGTTTTAAGAATGTGTTTAATTACAATAATGCGATTAGGAAATAACGTAGGACAGTAGATAAAACAACAAAAAGTATACAGGTTTAATAATAAAAAACAAAAATTATGTTCGAGCAAACAAACAAAACTAAAGAGATTTTTGTTAGCCAATATAGAAAACATTTCAAATTACTAATTTCAAAATTTTCAATTTCTAAAAAAAATTTAATTCAATTTACATGTGAGGTTTTCGAAACTGGTCTGCGATTGAGTGGGGCTCTGAGGCCGCGGGGGCGAAGGTGTCCATTGAGATTCTATAATTGAAAAGCAAAAAGAAAAAATCAAAAAGAATATACAATTTAGTTGCAAAAATACAAATAAAAAGTGCATAAAAAATAAAGAAACAAAAAATATGAATTTACATCCAATTTTCCATTTATGTGAATTCAATTAATTCGGAAGGAAGGTGAGAGGATGATAAAATAGATAGATTAGTACAATTAATATTGCGACGCAGTTCACCATAAAATCAAATATATATGTGTATATAAAGTTAATCTTAAATTTAAATCATAAATATACATATGTATGTATGTTTGTACATATTATATACATAATTTATTATAATAAGCTATATTATTATCATCTGTAATATTCATGTTATATATTTTTAATGTGTACAAAGTGTAAAACAGAGTGAAATAGCGTGCGTTACTTTTACAATTTTTGAAATTGAAATAAAAATATGGTAACTCGAAAATTATAAGGCTGACGCCTGTATGTGTGTCCTAAGAAACGCCTCTATCCGTCCATACCATCTGATCGTGGCGCCAAAGAAATCGTAATTTTGTCGTTTATATAATATTTGAACATAATAAATAATATTTTTACATTTAATACATTTTTAATGTTGTACAAAAAACTATTAAGGCCCTTATGATATTTTAAACCGCTGTTTTAGCGCTTAATAATTTTCTTACAACAATTTTTATATTTTAGACTTTTATAATAAAAATATTGCAGCCTTATTTAAAAACATATGAACGCAGTGCTCAACTATTACGCACATTTAGTAAGCTATTTTTTTGAATCTCGCTTTGAAACAAATATTATTTTAATCAAAGTTAAAAAAGTTTTACGCCATTTGTTTAATATTTCATGTCTTTTTAAACCGTTGAACAATTGTATGCAGCTGACATGATTTCGTTTCGTCAATTTCTGTTATTCCTATCTGATAAGATAACAAAAGTATGTATTAAAAAAAAATCCTCAAAATATCTAAGTATGTAAATATATAATAGTATATACACTAAGATACTTATATATATATTTATAGACTTATGAATATTAAAAAAAATTATATGTGTACATACATATGTATACTCCTATGTATGTATGTACATATGCAAACTATTACAGCTTTGCTATACATATGCTTGACCGAGTTTTTCTTCTTATTTGAGGTGGGTGTTTTGACATTGTGTTATAAAGAAACAAATAAATTACAGTTATTTAAATTTTCAAATAAGTTCTTAATTTTATTTATTTAAATACTATTTAACTGCTCTTTTGAAAGTGTGATAAGAGTAGTTTTATATTAAAATGGGCAAAGCATATTTAACTAGTTAAATTATATATAGCAAACTTTGCTGATCATTACAAAGAATAATTACGTATATATTTAAATAAAAAACAAAGCATTATAAAAATTTTACAAACTTTTGGTAAAAGTGTAGAACAATTAAAATCAATATATTGTGACCAAACATATTTATTTTCATGACTCAATATAGCTAATTTTATTCATCTTCAAATTATTATTATTACATTATATGTTATAATATAAAAAGATTATTATAGATGATGAAAGGACAAAATGCAAAAATATTGTGTTTACAAGTCTATATTTTTATTAAGTCCTTTGGCACCAGTGGCGGTTCACTGATAAAATGACATGACTTGACCTTGTACGCTACACATGATATTTTAAAAAGTTTCAAAACCAAAGAGCAATGTGTGTAAGTACTTTCTTTAGAAATTCGAATAAAAATATATTTATTATTGAGACTACAAGAGTACGAATGGAGTAGTTTAGTTTTATATATTAGTTTAACAAAAGTCATAATGACTTGCACAAAGTTGTGATAACTTTTATCTTAAAATTTTATTTTTTTTATATAAAATAGTGTATATATTTATAATATTTTGTATAACGAATATCTTAATACTAAACCAGTAATATATATAGTACATAAATAGTAAGATATTAATCGTCACTAAGCAATTGAATAGATTCGGGAATTTTAAACTTACGTTGTCCGTGTGGATACATTTTTCGAAATTATTTTAGTACGATTTGTAACTTTTATTTACTAAACGTTAAAATGAGTCTTTTTCGTATTGAGTTGTAACTATTATAAATACCGCAGTTTTAACTTTCTTTTTAATTGTTTAATATTATCGATTTTACTTCAGCACATTTGCTTTTATTGCTAAATATATATTTCAGCCTTCTTACTATCACTTAAATGTTGGAATTCGTTTAATTCTCTTAATTCAATAAAATATTGTATTTTTTTAAGTTTATTGTTTAGCTGCCTGTTCGTAGTACACCAAATTTTGTATGTATTGTATTACTATTTGTGGTGACGTATGTGTATTTATGAAGAACTGAATATTCTCACATTTATATTAACCTCACTTAACAGACACTTTGAAGTTTATGTTAAACTACAAACATCGTTTTTGGATTTGCAGTAATCTAGAACACAATCTCAGGCACAATATGCATTATATATATTGATATATATATATATATTTAGGTATTTATATAGTTATGTATAGGTAGTAATATTATTTTTTTAGTTTTTCGCCCAACTGTGTTTACTCATTTTATTGTAAGTAAAAATGCTTTGAGAATCGGTTGTTTGTTTATACTGGAAATAAGCTGGCACACTTGAGCATTGCTCGTAACTGTGAATTTGATTTGTGAAGGAAATATGTTTAGCGTTTTCCCCCTTAAATGGCAGGTAGCAATGAAACGGAACACAATAAAAGTTCAACTTTTGCGATTTATAACTTGTATTATTGACCTCTACTGCTGATCTACAGCTGCAATTTGTTTTTTATTCCCGTTTTAATAATTTGGCTGCTGCTGCTTCCGAGTGGGGCTCCTTTGATTTTAACACACGAACATACCAACCGACTGAAGACGTAAAAATGTGCTTTGCTAATTTCGAGAACTGAATTGTGATAGTCCATCTAGTTTTACACTTCGAGTTCATACACAGATTATTATTTAGCACAGGCCCTAAACTTTTTTAATATTTTTTCTAACTTTGCCTCCACACATTATGCAAAAAATTCTATTGAAAATTTCAGCAGCAGCACTCGAAACAATTTTTTCACGATTCTCAACGTTCTTTCTTTACACGACTTTCCTTGTCCACCACCTTGCAAATCTAAACGAGGTTTCGAACTGAGAAACGAAGGGTGTGAGTGAAAAAGATATATTTACAAACAATCGTTTACAGAGTTTTCTCTGTTGTGCACCTTGGTGTTCGGAATAAAGTTTGTGTGCATATATCCGAAATATTTCGAACATTTATGTACTATATCGTAAGTAAACGGTGTTGCCAACTCTACAAACTCTGAACGCTTCAACGTGCTACTTCAAACTCATTTGATATAATGAAATTGAAGACATAAATAGTAATATTGAAATTCATTAATTACTATTATAATTAACATTTACCCACATATAACTTATATATAAATATTATGGTATGTCTACCTTTATTTATAAAAAAAATTAAATAATTCTAGTTTTCACATCTTAGCTCCAATCTAAGTTTGAGAACCACTGAAGTAGTCTAATAAGAACAACTCTGTGTTTATGAAAGCAAATGTCATGCGCTTTGAAGTGAATATAAATTGCCATAAGAAATATTATAAAACCACTAAAAGCACGTACGAAAGATACACAAAATAATTTATTAAAGAACTTGAGAAAATTTAGAAAAGTAACAAAATGTCTATACCCTTCAGTGGAGCTTTAAAGCGATCAAATGGTATAATTGCAGCAATAAGCAAGCAATTAAAAAGTGTAAATTTAAAAGGAGTTAAGCGAATAACTGTTACATTTGATCCATATGCAGAAAACGTGAGGTCTACAAGGTAACTAACGAAAAACTCCTTATTAACCAAACCATATAATTCCTTTTGACATTGTCAAAATAAAATATTTTGTGGCATGCGCAATACGGAGGATCGACTGTCAAAGTGCACGATACATAGAATGTAAAGTTTCGAGATTATTCATGCAAGTTTTTATACAACTAACCAAGCAGGAGGAATATACGCATAGAATATTAATTAAAATTTAAAGTAGAACACTTACCGTACACTTTGCCAATAATTCGAACAGCTGTATTCAATTGTAGTGTAGTTCCGAGATCTGAAAAAGCGACAGGTAAAGTATGGAGCTGTGCTGGTCCTCCCGGAGCGAGCTCACGCTCCGTGGACATCTTGGTCGGTGTCGGTGTCAGTTTGAAGCCTTTATTTTACCAATATCAGATATAGCGTTACAATCTGTATAAATAAAAATTAAAAAATAAATCTGAAGTTGCATAAAATATAATATGTGCAATTATATACATATATGTATTCTAATCTAATATGTATAATTATAATATATTTGTTTTTTGTTTAGGGATTTCCTGTCTTTGCTATCAACTCCTAAAATATCTTTTACCAATCCTAACTGCGTTATAAAAACAGACGTAGTTTGCAATCGTCAACCTTCGGAAGTGAAATTTTCTTTAATTGATTCCGCACAAGGTAAGGATTCGTATTATAACGAAATTATAAATGCAACGTTGTTTTTCTTTTAGAAAAAGCTAAAGTGAAAGAAATCCGTTTTAATAGCAGCAATTTGACAACACTCGAACTCTTGCAACTCCTTAACAAACACGTCTCTACGCTAGCGCCAGTTGAGGAGATCACATCAAAGGTAACTACTAAAGCAGAAAAACAAAAACTAGCAGGCGGTGCTGGTGGGAAAAAAGGATCTAAGAAAAAATAAAGTCAAAACTTATTTAAAACACACAGCTAAAGCTATTTTACATCAAGTGCTTCTTTTAGAGATTTAAAAAATGGTGAAAAAAACTAAAGGTACGCTAGCTGTAATTGAACAGATATACGAAGATATACCAGCTTTTACCGACATTTTCACTGAAGAATCATTTTATACATTCGTATTTTGCTTTGTATGTGCTACTATTATAGTAGCATTCATATTATCAAGATTCATCACTTTAAAACCTGTTGAATTCTAATATTAATGAAATAAAAAATGAATTTTAAATGCGCATAATAAATATTGCTATAATGTACATATAAATTTGGATTTTTATATTTTCAAATTAATACTCGTTTAATTTTTTATATAAAATATATGTATATAATTCACTATGTGAGGAGGTTTTGGTTGTGGAAAAAAAGGTAGATTTGTTTAATCTTTGAAGACATCAACAAAATTTCAAGAATTTCATCTAACGTGACTGGACGTAACATGTTTGAATAGAAAATTCCCCTCTTTGACAAGATCCTTTATGACTCAATAAATGATATCGCGTGTACGTTGTACCTATGGTCAAATGGTTTCGAATTTCAGAATCAGTTAATAAACTTTTCATTATTGAAGGTTAGGATTATGATCCTTGCAGTAAAGAAAATATAAATGTTGGACAGTTAACCATTGTTTTCATTTTTTTTTTTCACAAATATCCATGCCTCGTTTTTTTAACCATTTTTATGTGTTAGGTCATACAGAGAGACATAGATAAATTAATTTTTTATTCTCAGCAAACATTAGGTAACAGAAATTAAATTTCTGTCAGTGCATAAGTAGGTATAAATACGTATACATCAGGAATATTTTAACGTGTCTCAGAATTAAAAAAAAAATCGTTCAAGTCAATTCACATACATATGTATTGTATAAGTGCATACTTACTGATATAGCTTGAATATATTTAAATAAGAAACCGCCAACTATTAGATGAATGAATGAAAAGGAACTAAAATTGTCGACCCAACTTATATGGAGTCAGCTATCCAGGTTGCAGAAATGCAAGTAAGTTCCCGCAACTAGTTATTCGTAGTAGAAAAGGCAAAGGCAGAAAAGAATAAGCTGAATACCAATGTATGTACACAATTAAGTGTGAGTGTATGAAATCTACTATTTAAGCTACAAACACAAAAACTTCCATAACAAGTGAAAGTGAGAATGAGAGTGACAGTGAAACTTCGCCAAAAAATATATCAATAGAACGCACGATTTCGGCTTTTAAATTCACCCGTAGCCAAAGGATGCATTGTTAAAGCTCATTTAAGCAAAAAAACAAGGAACTTAAATACACAAATAGGTGCATGGCAGAAGCACTTCTTAGTACAGGAAGTTCGAAAATTAATTATTTAGTGTCCTTAAACTACGAATTTATTTTTTACAAGGCCTTCAGTTTTATGAATCAATTTAATTTGTTTATTATATATATAAATATTAATTAAAACTCACTGAAGGTATTTAAAACTCTAATACCATATTTTATAATTAAACCCAGGAATTCTTAATGACTTCGGTAGCCAAAGTTCAATTTGTGTTTATTGAGAACACAGAACAGACTACCCCAATAGAAAGATTATTTAGCTGCGAGTATTGCAAACCAGAGTTGAAGCGCTGTTGTATATTCCACCAGGTAACGGATCTGAAATAGGCAGCAAAAATTGTGAACGAATGACTACCATTTAAGTACATACATATATAGACTCATCACACTCCAAAACAATTGGATCGCTCTTGTAATCACCCACTGAAAATTAATGGAAACATCTCGGAAGCCAAATTTGACAAGGAAAAACCATAGCAAAAAATCGGTCATAATGTAGCATTAAAATTAGTGAAATCGATGCCGTGGTTTTCAGACAAAAGGAGAACAGAAAATATGGAGCAATGGACTATTTTTATTTTATACATATGTATATATATATATAATATATATATATATTTTTTTTTTTTTTGGTATATTAAGATAATTACGAAGCTTGTACAATAACATCCAGAAGGAAACGTCGGAGATACTTAGAATACATTTGTAGATAGGGACCCAATATAATATATAACGTGATTTAGCCATGTGTGATTATCTGTCTGTATATACGCGAACTAGTCCCTGAGATATGTCAGAAAATTTGTGAATATTAGAAGCTGCTCATATGTCAAAACCGCCGATATCGGACCACTATAGCAACCAGCTGCCATACAAACTGAACGATCAAAATTAAACTCTTCTATTGAAAACGACATCACGAGATATCTTCTCGAAAAACCAAAGATTATTGCTCAGGGTATATGCGGCGAATAAATTTTTCAAATTGGACCACTATAGCTTATACTTATGTACATAAACTGACTGATCAAAATCAACATACAGATATCTTTATAAATACCCTCTTATGCTATAACAAATACAGCTGTGAAGGTTTTTCGTATTTTTTTTTTCAAGATTTTAAATTAAATTTTGTTTTAAAATATTTTTCGGCTAAACAACACCAATTTTTATTTAATTTAAAATTTTATGGCATTTTTTATATGTGTTTATATCTTCTAAACAAAATTTAGTTCAAAAACAAGTATCTGAACTCCGTGTATAAATGTTGGTATAACAAAATATATGACGGTATTTCAATAACCGTATATGCCATATGTGTACATACTTACATAAGTATATATATAAATTATTGCAATGTAAATAAGTGGCAGTGCGCCGTTTTGTGATCCCGCTTATTTTACATTGTAATTGGTTATATATACCCCCTTTTGACATAACAGAATCGAACTTGGAGTACAGACATTATTAAAAGTGAATAGAAAGTTGAACATACAAATACATACATATATACATATTTACATATATATAAAGTATATTGAAAAATGTCGATAATCTGACTATAAAGAGTACATGTAAAAAAGAAAAATGAATGAAAGGAGAAAGTTTTGCTCTCGCTAAAAGGGAACGTTGTGGAAGGACAACGATTGTAAGCTTAGTCAAGGGTGTGTACAGTTTGAAGGGAGTACTTATGTATGTAAATACAGACTTAGCCATATGTATGTGTGTACATATGTATGTATGTATTTGTATGTATGAAAATATTTTCAACGTCAATATAAAAAAACGTAACCTTCCCCAAACTATCATGGTTTGCGCCATTCCAAACCCTTCACAGCATGGGTATTTGCTCTCAGAGAAGCTCCTACGGCTCAAAGGACAAGCATAAGAACAGAGCAAAAATAATATACACATATCGATGGCACGTCAGCTGTTTGAAAGAGATAACTACATGTGTATGTGCATATTAATGGTGCTCTCTTATTTTTATGGTAAATAGAAAAATAACGCAATAATAACAAAGTATACCTATGTTCGTATATTTCCAAAATTGTTGCCATTGTTATACATAAATATGTAAATTATGTAAGTATGTACTTCTATGAAATATAACTAAATTTGGCGCTTACAACTTGGTTTGGCCAAGCTTTAGGTATTTTTCTATTGATGGTGCGAATGTGGTCCAGCAAATACCGGGCTCTACAAGTTAGGGTCGACTTCACAAAAATGGGTACAAATATTTTCAGGGAAACTCCGAATCCTACCTTTTGGATCTTGTAGTGCCTCCACGAAATCATCATCGAAGAAGGTTATCTAAATTACTGATTTACCCTGTGTTTATGTTTGATTTATTGAGCACAGTATATTTCGGTAGCACCGCAGTCTGTGTAACCGGAAAGTACTCGAATTTTTGCAGCTAAGGACAGTCAAATCGTCAGCATTCAATAAGCATTAGAACTAATATTTTTTGGACGTGGGTTAAATGGAGTCATACCCACCATTATTTTCAGAAAAACTTAAATGTTGAGTAAAGATAGGATAAAATAGAGCGTTTAGACTTCAGCGAGTTCCGTTTGTAAAATACGAGTATTTATGTACATACATACATACATGTATGTAAAGGGACATTTCCGCACTAGTTTTGAGTAATGCTGATAATTAACTAGATTTGCTTCGCAAAACTCGAGTGACCCTTGCGCAACTTCGTTCTTGATATTGTAACAGGTTAAACTTGAATTGACCCCAACATACCAAATATATGGCCTACATACAATTCGTCCCAGCATGACTCTAATCATCGGTTTGCATGCCGAACGCATCCCACTCATTTAACCCTTTCTCTATGGTTCGACCCCGTCGAAACAGTATGTTTCATGGGTCTCACGTTAGATGATTTCGAAGACAACTAGTTTGAGATTGCCACCCAAAGGGAGATTAGATAACCGTTACAACAACATCAGTTTCGCTTAAGTACTCGATTGTCTACACACTCCATACTTTTTTGTTTTATGCTTTATATACTCTTCTACAGCAAACGTTTATAAATTTATATGTATAAAAAGAATGGCTTAAGAAAACCCTAATATATAATAATATAATAGTATTTAAAATAAATACAATAAGTAAACAATGGAGAGATTTTGAAATGTTTATTTGTTCCTAAATTCGATTACATACATAAGTACATACGGTATATAGAATAAGAATGTGTAAGCAACCATTTGTAGGAATAAACGTAAGTATGAATGTATGTATTGAAAAGCATATTGTTTGTAGGACGGACATGTGTACATACATACTTATGTTAGTAGGTATGCACTTCAACGATTTAACTTTTCACGGTCACCTTTTCCAGAAATTATTAACTTGCTTTAAACCGAGCTTGGACATATTTTATTTATAGTTTTTTAAACTTAATGTGCCCCTGAATTTGAATAATCTATGTACGGCTTATTACGATTACATACAAACAAAATATTTTAGTCACTTTTAACACAACTTACCTTATCGATTGTTCCTGTAATTGAGGTACAATTCCAGTTGGAGTTAATAAGCCAATTACTTTGTTAATTGTTGTCAATTTTTCGATTTTGTTGTTATATTTTTAATGAATGTATTTGTTCAAATTTGTTTTTAACAATAGTGTTTGTTAAACATTCAATGGTTTCAAGTTGAATAGGTAACTAGTATTTTTCGATAAGATAATAATATTTTGTTCATACGAAATTTGTACTGCATTTGTTTTATTATGTTGATTGTTTTTTCCAAAACGTTCAGATAATGTTAATAAGCCATATTTTCATAACACGAAGTTATTTTCATAACAAGAAATACATAAACTACAGTAAAGACGCGCGACATTTTCTCAATATATTCTCATTAATAGCAGGTACATTTCACATTTAATTTATGATTTTTAATTTAGAAATATCAAAACTGTTACTCATAACTTTTAATATTCATATTTAATTTGTTGAAACTCCATTTTTGATAAGTTTTAAATGCTGCAAAATATCCGAAAAACAAACACATTTCATCAGCACAAGCGATAAAACGCAATTTCTCGTTTATTCCCACTGGTAGCAGAGCAACGGCAGTGACAGCAGCTGCGACAGCAACGACGCTTTCGCTCCCTGCCTTCGCCCAGTTGTTTGTTTTTTGACTTGTGGGCTCCACACCAACAAACAACCATCCAACGATATGATACGCAGCAGAGGTCGCCGGGCCGGCTACCTAAACTTTAGATGGGGACGAGAGCCGAGTGATCAGCGGTGCGACAAACGAACATAAGGAAGCATAAAGGGCATGGGGGTGTTTGGTTGGCAGGTGGGCATGCAGGAAGACGAGCGGGTTGATTTTTTCTTAACTCGTCTTTTCACTTTTGCCGTTTTCGCGTTACTCTATTGCTTGTTTCCTATTAATTTTATTTTTTCGTTTCTAAAGCATATATTCAAGAAAAAAACATGCACAAGTATGTTTTTTTAAATAATAAATCTATATATACATATGCATATTTGTAAGTATATAATAATATACTTTCTGCGACAACTCGCAATGAACATTCATAAATAGCTTTTTCAGGCCTTGCACTTCGGTTATTTTATTGGTGTTTTCGCTTTTGAACAACCATTTCTATATGCAATATAAATCAGTTTTATATATACGTTACATATATATACATATGTATATACAAAAGCACTCTCTCTCCTTATAATTGACTCCTCTCTTTTTCGTGTTGTTGATGTTGACATGCGTCTAGTAGTTGCATATATACACACTTATATATACATATTATAAATATATATGCATAAATAATTCGCCATGCAAACGGAAAAAAGCGAAGTGCAGCACAAAACATTATCAAATATGTGGATACACAACTCTATCCCGCACAATTGAATTTTTGTTGTTTTATTTACTATAAGTACTCCGGTTTTTATATACTCCCGCTTCGTCATTTGTTTTTGATAAGAGCACTGCGCAAAGCGCACATTAACAATATGCATACATTCATACTTTTGCATATAAGCACACCACTTGTTATTGTTTTTGTATAAAAAATACTGTTCAGTTTGCCGTGTATATCATATGCCGCACCAATTCTGCCGCCGGAATTTGCGTCAATGACAAGCAACGATTAAAAACAAATTGCGCCGAGCTAAAAGCTTTTGCGGCCATCAATTGTGTGAATTGTGAGCAAAAGCGAGCGCAAATAAAATATAATAAAAGCCGAAGTGTTGTGAACAAACTCAGAGAACGAAGAAATATAACAAACTGGAAAACGAATAGGGAACTGGAAAATGACAATTGCAAAAAGCCAAAAGGAAATATGAAATACTAAGTAAAAGGGATGTGTGATTTACGAATTATTGAAATATTTGCAAAAGTTATGCATCCCTAATTATTTTATAAGATATGGAGTCTTTGATTTTTTGTTAAATAATTTCGAGATGGTTTTTCAGGAATTGAATTATCGCCACCGTGTTTATTATTATTTTATATCAATATCATGATATAACACTTGAGCGTAGTGCTCCGTGCGTGTCGTTTTAGTAGTCTTAATCGCAATTGCCTATCTTTCAGGGCTCTTCCAGGAACAAGTTGATGTAAAATTAAATGCATTTAAATTTTGTTCTTAATTATAGTCAGTTGCCAAAATATAGTAAAGCTAGGCAAATAACAAAATAAGGAAATCAAAATAAATTTTGATGGCCATTTCACACTAAAAATATATTTAATTCTTCTAATTAAAATAATACTCATATTTTGCGTTAGCAAAAATGCAATCATCATTAAACAATTATAAAATCTATTACGTGCTTCTATAACGAATATGCTATTTCAGTGTAATCGTGCCATAAACATCATGTAGAGCACTGCATTACCATTTCAAATGTTTTGAAAGAATTCCTTAAACTAATGAAAACAATAGTAGTGCTAATTTATTAAGTTTAGTTTGATTGGAAAACAACTGTATTAAAACTTTTTGTGAAAAGTTTCAAAATGCACTACGAAGAGCTAGAAGCTTTGGATCCCCGTAACACGACATATGCAACACGAATTGAAACACCACCACCACACAAAGTTGCGGTTTTAATACTGGTGCAGCAGTACTTAAAAGTTAAGAATGCCGCCACCGATGCAGGTGTCGCTTATCCTTTGCAGGCACGCAGAAATTTTTGTATGCTACTATTAAAATTGATACAATATCCAGATATGACATACAACGATTTGTATCAGTTACTCACATCTCCACGGTATAAAATCAATGCACTTCATTTGGAAAGTTTTGAAAAAGCCATGTCCAATATATTTACACTTGGTATTGAAACACTTTGTGATTTTGCTGAGCGCCAGAATTGGGATAATCTTTTATCTGAGGAGTTAGGTGTCAGTCAATTCAGTATTGTTGGACTGTATATTCGACGTGTCTGTGTTATTCTGGAGCGTATGTCATTTCCCGAAATTATGGCTTTATATAAAAATATTTGTTTATACTATGAAAAGGGTTTGTGCTACGATGTTTCATGTCGTATTTTGTAAATAATATATTTGCTTTACAGGAGTACGCACACTGGCAATTGGGCCACGTAGAGTTGGTGGCGCACTGACTAGCGCGCAAGATAATTTGTTTCCGCATGCTGGTGGACGCGGTTCTGATGATCCTGGTAATACATTAGAAGAATCTGCTTTAGATACTGAAACTGTACATCAAGATCGAAATCCTCACAGTAAATGGTCACCGAAACAAGCCGACCTCTTTGTGGCACAACAATGTAAATTGCTAGAAAATAACGAACTGCGCGCTTTGCCTCCAATAGATTTACAAACGAAAATAAATGAGATAATTCAGGACAATCCGCTAAACTCGCAAGCCTACTTTCTGGGCTATATGAATCAATTAAGACTGCGAGATTTCTATGGGGCAATGGATGCACTTCATCGTGCTTTCGATCGGAGTCCTATGCAAACAGCTACACAATATGAACAAAAGGTATGGTGTGAATAATGAGTGCAATGAAATTTTAATTTTTATTTCATACATTTTTTTTTTTTGTAGGGTTTCCAGTATTTTAGCGTAAATTTGGCTGTGTTACATGCATGTTTCGATCATCGCCGCGAAGCATTGAACGCACTAAAAGAATGCATAATGCTAGCACAGGAATGTGGCGATAAACGTTGCCTTGATTTGGCAAATTCTTGGTATTGTTTATTGAACAGCAACAAAATAGACCCTTTTGAAAAGAGCCTGCCCGATATTCAGGACCCCGGTCTGGTGCAGTCATTGTCATTGGCTATTCAATATGTTGTCAAATTTGGTGCACAGTGTGGCTATTTGCCACTCGATCTCTTTGAATTGCTCCTGAAGAGCGATGAACTCAATAATAAGAATTCCATACTAGAACATGCTTCCGATTCTTTAGCGTTAAGATCTGCGCTGTGGTGCCTTTATGGACGTCATGAAATCTCATCGTTATATGCACAACTACTACTGCAACTGAAAAAAACCTGGGCATTTGGTGATATTGGTAATTCCGAGAGTGTTAGTAAAGTACTAGCTAGTCTCTCATTGTGGTTGAATGTGCAGGGGGAACATCAAATGAGCGCTGTCGTACAAAGTCATGCACGTAGTCGTTTTCCACGTCATCCAAACGCAAAAAATTGGATGATCAGCGAATATCATATTGTCATACAACAATGTATTTATCGCTGCCGTTGGCAGGAAGCACTCAAAGCTTGTAGTCAGTTGTATTTGCTGGATAAGAATGCGGGGAATTTACAACATGCCAGTGTATATATTGCGAAGGGATATTTAAATACAGCTCGTCGTATCATTTGTAAATTACAACACAGTGCGAACTTGGATGTTTTGACGCAAGTTCGTGTTTTGGTCTTACAAGCGTACGCGACAATTGGTGAGGACACTGTATCATCCGAAACGGCGGAATTTCTCATACGCGCTTCTGTATTGGCGACATCTGCGTACATGGAATATGAACAAGCTGTTATAGACATGGTATTGGCACAGGTGCTGCTTAAAATGAAAATGCCACAAAAGGCTTTTCAAGCAGCTAAAAATTGCATGGAGAAAATTTATGAGAACGGCGGTATTTATGATCGCGCAAAAATGGATTTTATATTTGTGTGCTGTATGGTAGCAGCTAGCGAAAGCGATGCACGGAAGAAAGTTAATTTACAGAAAGGAATTTCCATTTTGGAGAGAGCTGTTGTATGCTTTAAAAAATTAGAAGCGCACGCTAAAGTTTTGGATATTTTTGTTTACTTGGCAAAAACGTATCATGAACTTAATGAGCTGGATGAGCGAAACAAATATGCCTGCAAATTCAAACACTATTATACAGAGTATCCTATTGCGAGAGAATACCTTGGAATGGCGTTCTAGTTATTATTTATATATATATATATTATATTCTAGTAATTAGATTTAGTGCAGTGCTGAAGCAGACTTGTGTAAAAGTTCAGATCGCGTATTCATATTCGAAATATCATATAATTATTTTTATGTATGAAATTTGTTGCGAAAATTTTGTAAGTTTCATTGCAAAAATCCATACACAACTTGCAATATTTCAGAAATGAAACAATATATAAATGTTAATAATTGCTTATATATTTTTAATGCAAAATCATATTTTTATTTTTTTTTTTGTTATGTTTATATGATGCACACTTATATAAATGTCACTATTATTTTTTATCAGTTTTATTTTCCTCGCTTTCATTCTTCAATGGCTCCTTATCTTTGTCGGACTCTTTGGCTTTGGTAGTATCCATGGTGGCACCAGCTGGTAGAGATTTCTCCAAAGCCTTAACGAAATCCTCCAAATTTCCGGCATATGCGGCTGCAACTGCTTCTGCTGTTAATTCAAATTGTGAGACTACGGGGCCAAGCTGTGCCGATTGCAGCGCGTTTGAGAACAAAGAAAGCGCTTGTTGGAATTGCGGCGAAGCAATAGTGTCTTTAATTTGTTGTTTTTTATTTTCATCAGCATCTTCGCTTTCAGGTAGATGTACTGATAAAGTTTTAGCGCGTTCTGGATCGGATATTATTTGATTAATTGCCTCCGAACCTTGTATAGCAGTAGATAAATCGACACTTAGTGTACGGCTGGCTGTGGCTGCAAAAGAATAATACATATAAATATGTAATGGTAAAAGTCAATTTTTTTATTATTAGCGTTAAAACTTACTCGATAGGTTTGTATTGACATTGGTGGTAGTAGCACCTGCGGAACTTCTATTACTACCCTTTCCTTTGGGGGCGGAAGGTGTTTTAGGTGCTGTATTCGATTCTGGTGTTAGCAAATTACTTGCTGCATTATTGCTGCCGCTGCGTGCTGGTGTACGCGAACTATTTTCAGAGCGACTAAAATATATAAATATACGTAGTTAATACTTATTCGTACATTTATTATAATTATATTACTTCATTGAACCCAATAAAGAGGTTAAACCGCCCATTTGACCAACTCCGCCGAACAGTTGCATTAGTTGTTGTTGCGACATATTGTTCAACATGTACTGTAAATCGCCATTATCACTATTGTTACGCTGTTGTGATGGCGGATTGTTCATTAATTCGTTGACCCGACGACATAGCTCATCATCTTTTTCGATTTTTGGTTCTTGCATCCAGAAAAACATTCTACGTGAAGATGACTTAAATTTCAATACATAAACGCGTCCAGTTTTGCATTGTTCAACGCGTTTAAATTCAAAATCATCAGGAAAAACAATTAGGTCGTCCTCCACCTATATATATATATAAAAAAAATACTAAATAATTTCAGATACTATACTGTTTTTCATTTACCTTGCCAGTGGTGCGATCCTTCCAGCAAAAGTGCATAAGCCCATCTTCACTCTGTGTTAAATACACTAGGCCTTTTCGTGCGTCTGGATGCACCATCTTGCCTATCATATTCATCCGTCCAGCCCGAAACTCCACTAAATTGGAGCTACTGCTAGTGTTACCACCACCGATACCGCTCTGACGACCAAACATATTTTTCTTTACGTTGAAAACTGAGAATTTGTGCTAACATAAGACGAATAAATATGCTTATTTTTGTTTATATATCTACCTTTTTTTATTTACAAATAGTTATTCAATTGAAATAATTTTCACTTGAGTTTCCTTCAGTTTTTCTTACGAATGACGAGCAACTTTTAATGTCAGATTCATATGTCAAAGACAAAGTTGTATCAGAGAACGTATATCATATACGTTCTCTGTTAAAATCAACAGTCGGCAAAGCAGTTAACTATCACATTCAGAATTGTAGAAATCTGTTATTACTATTGTTGTGCCAACGTTTATTACAATTTGAAAACAAAAATATAATAATTCGTAGTTGTAGTCGAAATAAAAATTAATTCACTATTGTCTTCTAAAAATTTGATTACTAAACTTTAATTACTAATTTTAGTATTTGCTTCATTTATAACTGTGACTTAGATAAATTCAATATAGAAGAGGAAATCGACTGTGAACTAAATGCAAAAGACGAAGAGGCAAAGCTTTGTCAGATTTCTGTTTTTCCTTGCGAACAATCGTGGATAATTTAATAAATAGTGCGTTGCAACATTTACTATTTGATATATCTTTGCACAATTTAAAAGAAAACTTAAACATTTCTGAGCGTAAATTGTTAAAAATAGGGTAAGTAAACATCTTAAAGTAATAAACAAATTCAACTTAGATTCTTATTCAATTTTTACACGCTATAAAACGGCAAACGTGGATTGAGGCAAATCAGTGAAAAAGAAATTGAAAGCATCTAAAACTCAAAAAGGAAAGCTGATTAATGGTTTTGGTTGGATTTTACATTTAGTTTTAAACGTCGTTTATATTTGGTTTTATAAGTGGAATTGAATTAATTTTGTGTTGAGAATAATGTATATGTTTGGTATTAGAAATTTGTCATGTGTGATGTGTTAAATTTGACAACGAAAGCTGTCCACAAGGCATTAGGAAAGGTGAAAAATGTAAAACGATATAGCATAGATTAAAAAGTTAAGAAAAACGAAGTCGAAGAAAACAGAAAACGAGTTCACCCGCCTGACCGCCAGCGTGTCTATTAGCCATCATTCAGAGAAGAGAGAAAAGTTAAAAAACGAATAGCCGTGAGTGGGATACTGCAATAAAATTCAGAATTAGAGGAAGTTAAATAACATTTTCGAAAGTTATATGAATAGGAGTTTTCAGGTACGATATACAATTTTTGTTTAGCGGCAAAAGATTATATTTGTGCGGAAATTTTAATAAAGGCGTCAACGTGTATAAACATATACATATCTATATGATATACATATACACTAGAAATTATATGGAAGTGCAAAAGACGACTCAGTATAAAAATTTGCTTGTGCTTGCAAAACGTGCTCCTAGTATTATATTGCTTAATGTACTTAAGTGAAAAGGAGTTAAAACACAATAACTCTTGTTCCACTGTCCACTTTCTCCGCTAAAATGTTTGAAGTGTCATGAATTTCGTAAATGCATATACCCTGCAAAAGGCCTTTTCGATTTTCGCATAAACACATTTCGCTTGCTGGCATTTGAAAGCAGTTTAGCTGCTTTTGTACCTCTGCTATAAAATCTATACCTTTATGATGTATATCGATAAGATGGCATTTTATCAAAAATTTAAGTAAAAGGTATAAACTCTTACTAAAAAAAAAAAAATTTTACAATTGAATAAAATTTTGTAAATATATGAATATACCCGTAAATAAAGTTAATTTTATTGTCGTTGGTAACATTCTGATTGTAAAAATGTTATACTAATCCCGTCGGCGTGTTGAGGTAGGTTTCTTAGTATACCGTGTAATATATACAGCTCTAATCTTCTTTACATATCTTTTGTTTTAAAGTAATTGCAGGTTTTGTAGACTGCCCGTAATATTACCTCTGAATAATAACGTGTTTGTGATTATAAGAACTTTTTCTTTCAGTTATAGTCACTAAATACGCTGGAAATAAGTCAACAACACCCGACATTTTTCGGATATGGTTTTTTTGTAGGCATGTTTATATTAGATCTGCTGTAATAATATTATAGTGATACAGCAGATCTGTGAAAATATGTCTTACAACATTCCACTATATTCTCATGAATTCATTAGACCTGTCTTGATATCCGATGCATTAGTGTAGTGGTGCCATTTGACTTAAAATTTTTTAATTGTCTTTGTTTGATATTATATGAATTGTCTAGTTGTATCTTTAAGCAAATATATTGTGAATCGAGTTAGTTAAAGAAAGTTGATTAACATATACTCTTTTTTTTTTATATGTTTTTCTGTTTGTTTTTAGAATTTTTACAACGAATCATATCCCAATCCCTAAATTATATACTTCTGCCAAAACGAAACGCAAAAAATAACCGACACAACTAATAACAATAATTTCAACGCAACAAGACATTATGGATATAACACCGGGTCGTGCCCCATTTATTGAAGATGAGGATTATACGCCATTACGGAAGCCAAAGTCGGCTACAAATACGCCTACACACAGCGCTTCATCACTAAATGCAAATGCCGCGAGCGCGTATGTTCGCACCGTATCGCCATCCAAGCTATCACCATATGCTAAAGAATTTGTGCCACGCTTTGGTGGCAGCGGTAGTAATTCTGCAGCTGGCGCACAAGAGCGTTTAGAACGACATCAGCAACAGTACAATCAGCAAACCTATCAACAATATCATCAACAATCGACGCGACCACAACGTTACTCCAATGGTTATCAACAAAATAATCATCACAGTCATCATAATCAACAGCAATATGGCCACCAAATCACCTCATTGACAGCGTCCGTACAGGAACGCTTAAAGATCGGTAACGCCTCCGGTAGTAGTGGGAACAAGAATACTGCCAATAATTATTATAGCCAAAATCAGTCACATCAACATCCTAGGCATAATAAGCATCATAATCAACATCACGGTGGACAAGGACGCTATCAACGTCACAATAATTCGGGCGCTGCAAATTCAAATGCTGGCAATGGTACCACCAGCTCAGATGTCGAAACAATTGCACTCGATTACTTGAGAACCGTGATTCAATGTCTGAATCAAAATCCGGGACAATTTGATACAACGGCTACACGGTTTCTTACCATATTTGAGGGTATGGAGAATAATCAATATGTACTTTCGAATGCTATGGAAGATATCTTCAATGAATCCATACAGAATCCCAACTTCCGCTATATGGGCGCTAAGCTCTACAATCTTTTGCACATGCTCAACTTAAAGAAAGACTCACTTTTTCACACCTTGCTCAAATGCAAGCTGGACTATCACCAGCAAGAAGTTATGCAATATATGAAGACAAATCAACAACAAAAAGTGCGTGAAACGGCTCTCTTCCTCGCCGAATTATATATGCAATTGCGTGGTGATGACACACGCATACACCTAATTGCCGAAAATATAGTTTACTCACTTAAACAGCTACTATCGAAGGAGTCTTCCGACAATATACGTTGCATTTGTTTAACACTCAAATTGGCTGGCTATGATTTGACTGCAGACTGTCCTAATGAAATGCGTGAAATCATTGAGATTTTACAAGCTGTGAATCAGCGGTCTCAGGGTAAATATCCGCTAGCAGCTAATGTAATAGCATTGCAAAAGAACAATTGGGGTCGAAAATTGAATTCGCCCACCGCAGAGGTTGAGGCAGCAGCTGCAGCAGCATCAAAAGCGCCAGAACCATTGCGCATGAGCGACGAACCGATATTCTATGGTCCAGATGGGCGTGAATTGACGGCCGAAGAGACCGACTTCTTATCTGATGGAGCAGCGGCTGTGCCGGGTAGTGGTTCCACTGATGAAGACGGCGAGGGTGGCGATCTCGATATTGATCTTGATCCTGAAATGGATGAAGAGACCGAAAAGGCTTACAAAGAATTTTGCAAGCAAAATAACGCTAGCACATAGGTAACAGCAATGCAGTGCAGTAGTTTAGTAATGTGTAGTAGGCGGCAACAACTTGAATATTTTCCAAAACCGCAACAGAATAATTCCGCCATATACAAGTTTCTTCACATTCTTATCGAGTAAACAAAAAAAAAAACACACAAATTTGTACACAGTTATACATATATATGAGCATAGTGCCCTGCCAATGTATTATTAAGTGTCTAGCAAATTTCCAGGCATATTAGCTAAAGTTAATGCTGTGAGTTTCTAGGCTTGATCGAATATATATATTTTCGGGGTATGCTTTACTTTTAGGCTGAAATTACAGTTGTCGCATGTGATGTTAATGAAAAACAGAAACAAAAACAAAAAAAAAAAACGTTAATAAAACTATAACAAAATGTAATACTAATTTAGAATTAAAAAAAAAATGGTATGAACGAGTTGATTTGAAGCCTACAGATAATAGAATAGTGGAGGATCACCTATGCTTCTTTGCAAAGTTATTCAAATGCGATCTTTGATGTGATATTAAATGCATATGTTTAGTGTTTTTTGGCGATTTTTGTATGCATGCATTGATTCTCATAATATTTTAGTTGTTATTGTTTCTTGCATTGAAACATATGTTTTAGACATAACCACAAACACTTAACACTTATAGGAAGTAAATTCCTTAAAGTGTATAACGTACCAGTAAATTGTCGAAATCATTACACTCCACATCAAATTCTAAATACATTTTTTATATAGCTAGAAATATGTTTGTAGATTTTTCGAATTTTGAAAATTTTCTAATTTTGAAATGTTGAAATTTTTAGAATTTTAAACTTTTTAGAATTTAAACATTTTTCGAACTTAGAAATTTTTAGAATTTTAAAACTTAAATTTTCATTTTATAAACGACCAAATTGTAAATTGTTTTTTTTTTTTTTGCTTAATTTATTATATTTTAAATTCTCATAAAAACGGACAATGAAAACGAAACTGCACTTTGTTTACCTCGAAATTTTCAGTAGCCTGATGCATGGTTGGCGCAATACTAACTGTAATTTCAGCGTTTTTAGTCTTTTCAAGCGGGAAAACCAGCAAAGCAACAAATCAAGAAATGAAGAAATCTTAATGAATGTCCTTTCCTTTGTTCAGAACAGATTATGTCCAGTCTTTGTGTGTTATTGGTTTCCATGCTGCAGTTTTGATTAGACCACTAATATTTTATGATCGTTTTTAATCGTGACAGCGTAAATATGACTTAATTTTTTTTGTTTTTGTATTACATTAAGCAATTTTATCCATTTATTACCGTATTGTATGTTTAATCTCTAACTCAATGAGACATACTCGCACTTGGTTTATCTATATTTTGCATTTTAATTATGCATGTTATAATGTGACTGCAATTGTAATAGCAATTTTTTCGACATAAATAAATATTGAAATGTTTATCTCATTTTATTTTGTTTATAAAATGACTATGTATTTCTATAAAACAAAAATATAAAAGCGATAAAAAAATCATTAAAAAACGAAAATTGTGAAAAAATATTAAATTAGTTGTAAAATAAAAAATAAAAAAAAACAAAAAAATTGCATGAGAGAAAACATGTCATGTATTTTCTTTTCCGATATTTGCAAGTTTTTTTTTACTGTTGTTGGGGTTATGTAGCACCGGAAGACCGGATACTCGGCAGTTTTCGATTTTATTAGCAGCACATTGTGCTCCATTTTGTAGTACTTTTAGCTACTGATATGCACTTATTCTAATTTCAGTATTCATGCAGGTAAATTCAAGAAAATTTATAATATTTTTAACTAATTATGTATTGCGTTTACTTTTAGTTAAAATTTTTTTTATAGAAACGGTGCTTGAAATTGTTTATTTAAATTTTTAGCTAATCTCTTAATTTTTTATTCTGACCCGGATCTTAGTTTCGATATTTAAATAAATCGATAAATTGTTTAATTCAGCCGGTGACAGGCGGAGGTACTCGGTTACAAGCATATACCATCTGATCAAATTTGACCCGGACTGGTTCATTTAAACAACGCGCGCAAGTCGAAATGATGACAAATTTCGGTTACTAACATATAGATCAAATTTGACCCGGGCTGTGAATATTTTAACGGATTTAGCAACCGCTTCTGTCATTTTCGATATGGCGATTCTTATTTTCGATATATAAAATAAATCGATGATTTGCTTAAGCAGACGGTAGAAGCCGGAAATGCCGCTTAACTAGCGCATCTACTCTACTATTATAGCCGCAGATTCTGCATCCAGTCAAAAGATATGTCTTAGTCAATGTAACCACTGATTTTTAATTGAAGGGTTTCTTTTAATCATCAAGAGAGGATTTTCTTTTCAACACGGTGCCGTCGGAGCCTTCAAAGCTTCTTTGTGCTGTTAGACTTGCGCTCTTTACTGCGTAAGGGTTCGTACGTATCTTGACTGTGAAAAGATAACAGTAGGCGTCGATGTTTGGTCTTCGGATTGTATCTTTTATCACAATGTCATAGATTTTGGCCTGAACCTTTCCTTTTAGAGACAATCATATAAAATTTCTATTATGTGAAAACCTGTTAGTAGCTCCAAGCACGTTTCAGACACTGGCTATGTCTGTCCATTACTGGAAGTTTCATCATGTAGCCTGAATTTTCGGCCATTAGAACCAGAGTTTCTTTATTTTTCGCTGAAACACCATCAATCATGACTTTAAATTGTTTAGGGGCAACGGTCATAGTTCATTGATAGTAACTGTCATGCTCTCCATCGCGGTATATAGATAAAATAGCGAGATTTTGGGGAATTGTAGACGTCCCAAGGTATTTTTTTGTTTTAAGTGATTTCAAACCCCACTTGTAATTATGGTTATGAAAAAAAAAAATTCATACATCTGGCAACTCGCCATAAACAAGTTGAAAATGATATGCGTTGGTTAAGTATGTGTGAAGTGAGTGAGATTGAGTGAAATTTTCAATGGACGCTCAAAAAGGGAAGAGAAATGCTAAAATTCCAATTAGACCAAGCCAACTAAAATTAAATTTTAATCAATTTGGTAGTTAACTATCAAAAAGTAAAATATCACTTAGAGAAAAATTTAAAATATTTTGTATAAATAATATTGCGTTCGATTGGCGCTCAGTGGAGCTGAGTTTCCGTAAACAGAACGAAGCAAAATCACACCCAAAGAGAGCATAATAAGGTGTTTTCAAAAAATTCACACAGTGTTGTGCAATTGTGGGCAACAGCGTTGCTTTTATTGCCTTGATAATAAAATATAATAAAACGTATGGCGAAACAGAATTCCAATGCAAAAAGTTATGTCGCAAGCTCACGCATTATCACATTTGCCAATACTTTGTTTTAGGAAATTGCTGCTTAAGGGGCACACCTATACACCTACGTGTATGACAGCCTAAAAAAAGAGCGATTTTTGAGAATTAAAAAAAAAATATTGCATCGATTGTTTTAAATTTTTACGGGTATATTTATATATATTATAAGAATACATAGTAAACACAGTTTTTGTAGAAAAAAATTAAATATTTTTCGAGTTGCACGCTATTTCCGACGGTGCTGTGATTCCGGCCTTTTCCATGGATGAAACTAAAAAAAAAAAGGTTTATACTGGAAGATATTGTACGTGAAATGAGCTGCGCTCTAAAAACATCAAAAATTGATAAAATGGCAGCGACTGTAAAAATAATTTGAGATTTCTTCAAATTTTGTTCGTTTTTGGCCTGCCAAAATTCGATTTTAAATCAGAACAAAAAACTGGTAGATATTTGTATGGAGAACTATAAACAGAGGATGCAGAAAAAATATTATAGTGTTCGGATCCTTTGCCTTCAGGTAATCACTCATGTTTATTTGAAAAATTGAATTTTGGTAAAAACTCATTTGAAAATAAACTGATGGAGCTGATTGAGCTGAACGCATAACCTTTAGATGGCTGCAACTCAGAAACTGTTTAAAATATCAATCAAGCCTATCGAAATATGAAAAAATAGATATTTTTAAAATTTGAAACTAGCTCCTTCAGATAAATGTTACGCCTTATAGTAATGTAATTTTTAAATTTCATGTCACTTCAGACTTTTATGGTTTTTCAAAAAGCAAATAAAGTTACCAAATGGAAAACGTTATACAATTAAAGCCATTTTTGCATGGCTGTTATTTTATATATTATTTTTTTTATGCTTGTTAATATATTTTTTTTATATGACATATATATTTTCGAAACTTTGCCACAATCCGATGGATTTTTTTTTGATCATTAAGTATTTTGTGACCACCCTTCTAAGTCTAAGTAATCGAATTTTAAATTTTAAATACTTTTTTTTGTAAATTAATTACTTTTGTTTCTAAACATACCAATAGTATATTAAATTTTCAACGGCGTGGCAAGCTGGCTAACGTTTCAAGAGAATACTGAGCGGAAAGAGCGCCATGTTTGCGCCACCACCTAACCACCTAAAGATTTGTGTATTTGCTATGGCATCGCAGCCAACACAAAGTCAACATGAGTCAGTACAAGTCAGTTTGAGTCTCTTGTTCGTGGCGTTCATTTGTGTTTCGAAGATTCTTATCCGTAAGATACTTTGGTGCTACGCAAAAATATTTACAAAACAAAAAAAGAAAAAAAAAATAAAACTGAATGAATTTCCTTTAGTACACGAGCAATACATACATATGAACATATATGTATATACAAATATGTGCATGTGTATGTGTTGATATTAACTTGTTTCATATTGCTGCCGCGAAAATAACAAAAATTCATTTATATTTTAAAATTGTTTAAATATTTTTCAATAATTATGTGCATTTGCTTGTATATGTGTGTATGCATGTAATTACCACTTTTAGGAATTGAAAAAACAAAACCGATTTTGTTAGTGAAAATTAGAGTGCCGGAACAAGTATATAAAACGAAGTAAGTGCGAAAGTGCGCGTTGCTAGCGATTATAGCGATTAAGGAACACAGATTTTACTAAATTTTTGCATGCAAAAAAAATTAGAACAAAATTTGTTGTGAGAAATCAATATACATATATATTTAATAACTAAAACAAATTAAATTTTTTATAAAGTGTTGCCTGTTTAGTCGCCCGAAAGCGGGCACTGAAAATGTATATATATCACCGTAGCCAAGCGAAAAAGTGTAAAGCGTCGAAATAAAATTTATTGTATTATAGCATATTTTCATTGAAACGAGCAACAGTATACACGACGACTGGTGTAAAGCAAAACGAATAAGAGACAGCCCCTGTAACGCGTTTACTCTTTATCCTGCCACCCCAAAGACAATTTGAATCAAATTCCGCTTTGTTATTATATTGTCGCCGCAATTTGTAAGAAGTGTGTGTGCGTTAGTGTTGGTTTACTACGCCGAAAGGACAGGCAATAGAAAAATAGGTAAGTTCAAACAATTGCACAATTGAATGTATGTATGTATATACAAAAGATTGCACACATGCATACAAAAAATTACACACATACATACAAATAATTACACACATACAAAAATGTGTAATGCAATGAAAAATATGCTGGCAGCTCTGGCTTAAAGTAAAATTGAAAATATCATAATAACTATAACTATGTATGTACCGTTAGCACTAAGTGTTTACTGCTATTTGGTTCTGCGTAGCTGAGCTTTGACATATAGCTGTCATACAAACTGACCGATCAAAATCCAGCTCTTGTATGGCAAACTTTTTTATTTTGCTAGATATTTTCACGAAATTTGGCATAACTTATTTGTCAAATGAGTGCTACAATATTCGAAAAAATTATTCAAATCGGACCACTATAGCATATAGCTGTCATACAAACTGACCGAGCAAAATCTAGTTTAAGTTATTTTTATACCCTTTTATGCTATGAGAAATGCACCTGTGAAGGGTATTCTAGCTGCGGTGCAGTTGAAGTAAACGTTTTTTCTTTATAAATCAATTTATTAACCCTTTTGGTTGTGAGTGATTGAACTTTAGGCGTTATGTGTATTTTCTTATAGTAGAGCGTAGTTTTGCTACATTGTTTAGTTTAACAACATATTTCAGCTATGCAAATAAAGCACATTTTATTTAAATTTTTTAATGCCTGCTTGTAAATCCAACATGCCCAGCGCGCTACTATAGCGGCAGATTTCCTTTAAGTAACTCAGAACTTTTTGGGTTGTGGTCACTAGCTGGAGCGTAATGCTGACGCCTACGCTGGCACGCTAACATATGAGTGCGCCACCCCGCCAACGCCACCGTTACCGCTTGTCGGTTAGTAGGTGGCTACTAAAAAGCAAATACACAGCATAGCAAAGCAGCGCGGAAAGCGCGACTGTATAAACGGCCGCGACTCACTATGACTTCATAGTTGCTCACACAAACGCAGCGAATGTGATCGCATATATATTTATATGTGTGTGTATGCATATACATATAATGCTACTTTTTACACATACACATGCAAGTCGCTGGATTTGACTACGAACTTTTGCGTGAAAACGTGTATGCATACATATGTACGTCTGCTGTATCTATGTAAGTCGTGGCGTTGGCACTTTGAAGGGGCATAAATATGTCTGTATCTCTCATAAGTTTGTGAGAGAGGGCTTTCGTCGTGTTTAGCCGTAAATTCGCTTTTATTTACTACGGTAGATTCTCACATGTTGTAAACAGTTCGATATAGCAAAAATAATTATCTAGTCTTTAAAAGAAAAAAAAACAAATAATCTCAATCGTTCGAAATATTTCTGTAAATATATTGGAATTCAAGAATATTGCCATAAGAAATATTTTAGCAAATTTGAATGAGAATTTAAAAGGTTGCTGATTACATCTTGATAGGTGGTACTAATATTAGGGTTTTTAAATGTAATAAATAATAATAATAAATAAATACTAGCAAAATCTTTCGTCATAGACAGAAACTGTAGTAAACACTTCCTGCTCAGGCCGGACTATAAAGTGGTTGTATATGAGTCACCTAACCTAGCTGCCGGAGCTTCAGCCGTGTAACTATCAATGTGTGTGGCGTTGTCCTGATGAAACACAATTCCTCTGCTATTGGTCAAAGCTGGCCGCTTTTGGGCGATTGCTGCCTTCAGGCGGTCCAATTATTAACAGTACAGGTCCGAATTAAGAGTTTGGCTGTAGGTTAGCAGCTTATAATAAATGATTCCTTGCCAGTTCCATCCAACGTAAGGCAAAACTTGCTTGATCGTCAATATTGACCAACGTTTGCGCCGGTTTTGGGCATTTACCTTTGACATTGTCATAAGTGAACCACATTTCATCGCTAGTAACTATTCGCTTCAGAAATAGATCGATTTTTTTTGTGTTTCAGTAGCGTTGCTAAGATTGCAATTCGATGTGGCAGCCAAAATTCGAGCTACGTTGTGTTGCCAGCCTTATTTAAATGGTTTCAAATGCGTTTTTGTGCAATGTTTATCTTCTGGGTAATCGAAACAGTGCTTACGTGATAGTCGAACACGACGATTTACATTATTTAATAAAAATTTAATACAATTGGCTTTTCAGTGCGTGGTGCATCTTTAACATTAAAATTACCGGAAAGGAATCGATGAAATCAAAATTGCGCGAGTTTCGCTGTTACAGTATCAGGACCATAAGCGCTATTCCTATTTTCAGCCACCTGACTTGCGTTTTCGCCTTTATCGTAGACAAACGCTGTAAAATATGGCGTGTTTTCCCTTTCCTGCTGTCCATTTTTGATACGTGTTGAAGCAATACCGAGTCAAGTAAATACAAAACTGACGGAGTAGTAGCGTTAGTATAAAATCTGAACTTTTTAACGCCATATAGCGTAACTCGAATGCACTTATACAACGCGAGCTACATATTACTAAAGTCATCTATTGGAAAAATAATGTATTTTCTTTTACTAGACCTTAAATGTATATCAATATAATTGACAATGAAATCATCTTTAAATAAATAAAATATTAATACTTAAATATTGCCAGTGCCAATTCTTGAGCGAATACTGTACAAATGTATAATTTGCTATTCGATCGGAGCGCTTGTTGTTTGGCGCGCTGTTTTGCTGCCACCATTGTTGTTGCCTAAACATGTTAGTTTCTAATAGCAACGGCAATAAGTTAAAGTTTTCAACAACAAAACAATGAAAATATATTAATTATATGTACATATTTAAATATACATATATAAACCTATATACTTACTCTATATATATGTATGTATATATATAAAACATTTAACTCTTTAAGTATGTGAAACGAGTGTACAAGTATATGTATGTAATGGTAGGTATATAATAAGCGCGTAAAGAACTAGTCGACGAACGCTACGGTGTACAATAAATGAATATCAAACAAAAATAAAACCAAAAACAATGCAAAACAATGCTATCACGACAAACAAGTCGAAGTCAGCGCTGCCTGAAGAGCATCGCATCAAGCGACACAACGAAGCACCGACTGACTAAGTGGCTGCTGCTGATTTTTAATGTGTATTTTAAGTAGGAGTATGTGTGTGCGAAGCGGCGAAAACAAGTTGGCAGCTTTTTGACTTTTGTCAGCAAGCTTCGACTCTTTTATGCTATGAATGGTAGCAAGCACAATTTTTGTATATACATATGTGTGTGTGTTTCGCGCCTTATTGTTGCCTGTACCCTACGCTGTTTTGTTTTGTATTACACCTTTTCGTCGCTCACTCGATTGCACAAATTCGCTCGCTCTTGTATCTCAGCGTCTTTCCGCTCTTACCATTTATTGAATTGATAAACAGACAACAGATACACACACGCCCATATATAGATGTTTGAATGTATTTGTATGTATCTTGTGGTTGAAGCACGCTCAAAAGGTGAGCATGATCAAAACATTCGAATTTGCTGTGCTGTTATTTTCGCTTTTTGACAACATCTTCGCCGCTTTATTTCTGTGCGCTGGCCTACTAGACTCGAGTGTTTTCGGTTCTCTTTATCCAAGCGCGTTTATTCTTTGGCAACATGTAGCCGTTATTAAAGCGCATTGTTAAAACTAGGCTTTTCAAACATAACTGGTTTCTATATGACAAGATTAAAAAAATTCAAACCATTAAAAAGTTTTATACTTTAAATGTGATTTTGTAAGCGCACATTATAATTTTTTATTGTCTAGTAAAAAGTTATTTTTAGGTTATGGCGGTTTGAAGCAATGCGAATATAATAACTATTAGATTGCACGGTGTTACAAATTAAGTAAATCTAAATTAAAATTGTGTTCCTTCTTCAAATAGCTGCTAAAGTGTTGACATGACTTTATGTACAATACATACATTAAGGTGAGCACAAAAAAATTAAACTGTCGAATTTATGGGTTCAAATGAACTTATATACAGAAAAAAAAATCTATCACGTTAAGTTAAGATTTTAGGCGTTATAATACTGGTAAATTCGCGACCAATTGGGAGCACTTCAAAGCCAGAGAATTCATTAACATTCGCTTTCATAGCAATGCTAATCCAATTGGAATTTAATTGATGTACAATTTTGTAGATGTGAAAACTTTGTTAGATTTTGTTTTCAGCGCACTATTTTTTACGTCTAGCTGAGAGAATATTGCTACCATGCGTCAAATCTGGCGTATACGGTGGGCGGAAGCATACATAGTTCACAGCATAATAACTTCCTGCCAGGTGCATTACATGACCTTTAAACATAAGGTATAATAAGAAGAAATCCATTATTGTTTACTTAAATTGAAGTTTTTATGTAGCAAAGTTGGAATGATTTGATTTAGATTATTCATTTATTAACATTCTCTGATTTAGATAAAATATGTTTTGTTCGATAACTTGTTGACATTTTTAAGGCAATTTCATAATGCCACCTTCACAAAAATTCTTGGCCATATTGAAAAAAACTAGGACACGCGATTTTCCAGGGTTTTTCTTGAGATGAAATTTTCGTTCACAAAATATTTCGCCAAAGACTGGAACCGGTAGTGATTACTTAGTAACAAGCTCCGGACTATACGTTGGATGATAAGAACCTCCGAATCCAGCTTCCGGTGTTTCGAGCGAGTCACCATAGACGTGCTTGGCCTAGCCTGGTTCTGATGAGAAATAATTTCTCTGCTATTGGTCTTATGGCCAATCGCCTTTCATGCGATTTTTGCTTCAATCGTGGAAATTATTTTTTTGTTTTCATGTAATACATTAGCTTATTAAATACGGAGTAGACTTGCCACTTACATAAAATTAACATGTACATACGCTGATAAGAATATACATATTAAGTAAAACCTTGACATAGAAAAGCATCGCATCTCTTTGTTTATATATGTATATTATATACATATGTATGTACTCATATATAAACTTAGTCATATTTCTCTAAACTTGTTTAAATAAAACTGAAGTTGAGCCGCACGGACGGTTTTCCAAGCCTAAGTT